AAAAGAAAAAAAATACAAACTCGATAACCAGATGAATGCATATACTTTAATAGAATTAATATTGAATGATGATTCATTATTATGGTGTATAGTTTATCAATCTGTTCATTATACATTATGAATTTGGTAGAATAATTAAAGTATTTATGTAAATATTGTGTAATTAACAAACATTGGTAAACTTAGTCATTTATTTTAATGAATAATTTATGTGTAGGTGGGTAGTAATTAGCTTTTGTTTGTTCATTCTATAAAATGTTTTACAATTTTTCCTACAAAATTCGACTAATAATACTGTGGTGTATGCTACATATGTCAATAGATATAAGTAGTATGTAACATCAATCGGAAGTGAAAACCCTGGCAGCAGATGGCTTAGATGATCGGATTGAAGAGAATAGAAACGGAAATTTACAAATGATGTATTCAATGTATGGTTTTCATATTTTACCAAGATATTCTGTAATTTTGTATTCAGATATATTTATTTATCCCCACTTCTATGTTTTCGTTCATTACAATAATAATGAAAGATTGAATATATAAGTTCGGATCAATTTCAAATTCCATGGTGAAAATATTTTCCATGTTTAAAAGAGACATGTTTTATACTATTAATAATTATTAGGTTAGACGTTAGCTTTTGGTAACCATACGAAGATATGACATTAATTAGTGAAGTAATTGATTATTGGGCTGGTCCACTTTAGTAAATAAGAAGTTTGTAGTTTTGAATCGTGGGGCAATGTTAATCTACAGTTTGAATTATTTTAGTGAATGACTACTCTAATAGGTGAAACTAATTGATTGTACTAAGCAGAATCACAAATTTGTAAGATATGAAGATAATACATCGTATACACTATTTGCACAACTTCCTCGAATCGTCTTTTACAAAAGTCGTCGTTCTTATATTCCTGTTTCTACTTTGACTGCTTTCTTTTCTCTTTTTCTTCTCCTCGTTTTCCTCTTCCGTCAGTAAGAAACCCATTTCTATTCCCTGATACATACTACTTATGTAGTGAATAGAACACGGGTAGGGACAATCGAACGTACCTAACACAAAATTGCAGGAATTGTTAATAAAATCTAACAATCATATAGTAAATGCTTAATTTGCAAAATGTCCACTAATTGTCTCAAAATGACTCAGACTTCATTGTTCTTGCATTTTCATACAAATTGCATTCTGTTTCCATTCTTTACTGTTCGATCCTCTTGTCACTCTGCTGCCAGACCTTCTGTTCACGACTAACATCACATGCTACTTATGTCAATATGAGTAGCACACAACACACTTATATCTATCGGTATAAGTTGAACACACCACAGCATTACATAAAATAATCTGAAATTGGTACCACTGGGATAGGTGTAGGTTACGCAGATTACCCCTGTGTAATGACCATTATTTTTTCATAACAATGTCAAAATTTGTGTCATTCAATACTTTTCATCCTTCGACCTTATTTATTTTATTCAGCTTTTTCTTATGTTCATATTACCAAGGCAGTTAGTATTACTCTTTCCTCTCGTGGATCATTACTCATATTGCACTGAGCTGTTGTGTAGCTATGTGAATTGGTATACACTGAAACCAGAGCTTATATTGTTTATAACGGGCCTACTGAAATTTATATAACATTGCACTGACTAGTCAGTAACAACGTAGAACTTCGTACGTACGGACATCAGTTCGAGTTGCCACACCACATTAGCACAGAGATACAATTTTCGATTCAAATCCCATAGTGGTAGAGGTAGTAAAAGTATTAGCAGTAATCGAAGACATTAGGGTTTGATGACAGTTAATTATTCGTTTAAATGTTTAAATAGCATTGAAGACAGGAAACGAAATCAAGACAAACTACCTGAATATCATAATATTTGGCATTAATTTGAAGTTAACTGATTCAATCTAATGCATATAGCAATACACGAGTTTACATTTTCATTGCCTTACACTTGATTCACCTTGCTATCTACAGGTTCTGTTTGCTTATGATCATTCATTATTTAAATTTTTTAAAAAATTTACAATCATTCCTGAATTTCAGTTGTGATTCAGCCAAAAATGACTTTTAAAGACAAACACCTACACAGGAATACCTGAAATGTCGGATTATAGAAATAAAATTATCCTATATGTAAGGTGAAATATAAAGTACATAAAAATGTCATGTTCACTGATTCTATAAAAACTGGTTATTTTAGTTACATTTTTATTCTCGATAGTAACTTTACATAGATTTCAAAGATGAAGTATTAGGCCATCTAGATACACAGTATCTCAACAGTAAATTTTATAAAAATTTCTTATTATCTAATCGCAAAACATCGGTTCTGAAACTGAACTATAAAGAGACTTATCAAGTGATAACTGGAAAGTATACAAAGATCACATAAGTAATTCAGTATTTTCTGTCTAAAACTTCAAAATCAAAAAAGCAAATCTATAAAGTATATATATAGGTGCGGATCGGCAAAGCAAGAGCAGCATATTTACAGCTGAAGAACATCTGGAACTCAAAGCAACTGTCAACCAACACCAAGGTCAGGATTTTCAATACAAATGTCAAGACAATTCTACTGTATGGGGTAGAAACCTGGAGAACTACGAAAGCCGTCATCCAGAAGATACAGGTGTTTATTAACAATTGTCTACGCAAAATACTTCGGATCCGTTGGCCGGACACTATTAGCAACAACGTACTGTGAGAGAGAACAAACCAGATCCAGCGGAGGAAGAAATTAAGAAGAATTGCTAAAAGTGGATAGGACACACATTGAGGAAAGCACCCAACTGCGTCACAAGACAAGCTCTCACATGGAATCCTGAAGGTCAAAGGAAAAGGGAAAGACCAAGGAACACATTACGCCGAGGAATGGAGACAGAAATGAGAAAAATAAACAGAAACTGAATCGAACTTAGGAGGAAGGCTCAGGACAGAGTGAGTTGGAGGATGTTGGTCGGCGGCCTATGCTCCATTAGGAGTTACAGGCGTAAGTAAGTAGATGAAATTTCAGCTGTCATTTAGAACGTTAGTACTAAAGATGTAGTATCAAATTCACAAAACTTCATAGTAAATGAGATTCTACAATTAAACTTTAAAAAGTTTTTGAAACGAGCTTTATGTAATAATTCACTTGGTAAATTTTCCAGAAAACTGTGTTTAACTGTTATAACATAATCTGAAATGATCTAGAAGTTATCTTGATAAAATCAATGATTATCACTTGTAAATCTAGATTTCGTCCATTCAGTAAAATCACGAGATCATACATCAACAAAATAATTCATAACAGGAACCGGTTCATTTAATAGCAGATAATCTATGAAATGAAATAGTACTTAAGATCTTTTATTCTATATAAAAGTTAAACTTATCACGCATCTAGTTAAACAGTAAAATGTCAGTTTCGAAAGCATTTTGATAGATCATCTCTTGTGTATTTCTTAATGATTCGATTCATTTCGGAAGACACGGTAAGACATTAGGGATGTCGTAAAATGAAGAAGTAAAAAAAGTCCAAAATATTCGTAGTATAAATTGGCCTGAGAAGTTTCAGAATGTGAATGCAAATTTTGTAATTCAGATGTTCATTCACAAGTAAGGTAATTGGTGATCAATGCTGACAATTCCTGAGGTATAAAAAAACTGCTGTCCAGAGCTTCATTTGTTATTAGTGTGTGATGAAAACACTATTAAAAATAATCTCTTATTCACAAGCAACTAAACAAGAAGAAATTATTCATGGAAAAAATCACAAACCTGTTATGTAGTATGGAATAATTAGGATAAATTGAAATCATATTCCCAGTGCAGAATCAATAACTTAAATAGAACTACTCGAGTTGCTAGACTGGTCACTTAGTAAATAATTGAGCATCCTTTTACAATGCATCCGATGATTTTTCATGGATGTAGATAATTTATGAGCTTACTTTAATTTAGTCTGTTGCCGAATGTTTGAATAGTTTAGTTTGGTTTAAGACACTAAACTAAATAGCTCAATCGGTGCTTGCTGTCGGATTAGAGCTTTCCGTTATCAATAACTTTTAGAGAAAGCTACGGGTTGTTTTTACTTCTTACAAAATGGGAAATCAAAATCTTTAGGCAAAATAATCTTGTTATTTCTCTGTAACGGTGTATCATATATTCGGTTTATATAATGACATTGTTAATTAGCGAAGAATGCGTATCCAGACACCATACGATTTTCTACCTTAACATCGCTGAGTATTATCATTAGAAAGTCTCCTTTATCTTGCTTATAATTTAATTCCATTAGTGGAAAAATAAGGCATTTTCAATGTCTTATCAACAATGCCTTCCTTATCAATGCTTTGAAAATATGCTGTTGTATTTTCCCAAACAAATCATTGTTCAACATCATACCTATATTTTGAATTTTTTATAACAATGAGTTTTGTCATCGTTGTTGACACTAAAAAACATTCTGCATACAAGGGATCAATAAAACAAATACAAATGAGACAGCAAAGATTAAAATCTCCGAGTTGTAAATGAGGCAATTTTTCATATAAACGATATTCTATGTGAATTTTTATGCGGAGAGAAAAAATCACAATATATCTATACGCTCCATAAGTCTGTGAAAAGCTTACTATACTTTAAAGGCGCCCAGTATTGAATAAAATTATTACTTCAAACGAAGCACTGTAAAGTGATACTTTGAGAATGTGGTATGTCGACTGATCAGAGCTTAAAAATTTCACAAGACGTTCTTCATTCTTTCGGATGAGGTACTAGAGCATATTATGTTGCATTTTATTTTTCGCGCGGGAATTTTTCAATGTGATGATTACCAGGCAAATGTTCTTCTTAATTTTAAGCAGCTGTTAATGGTATAGCCACGATATGTAACTTGGAAAATAAATCAATTATAATGTGATCCAGTGAAATCTTGTTCAAAATTACTAGACATGGTTGTGATTTATTAATAGTCCGTCTTATTTTTATACTTTTTGTCCACAGTTTCTGCTTCGTATGAAAAATCATTTCTCTCGTCAAACCGAACACACACAAACTCACGTCGATCCCTCAATGCTCTCTTCAAACCGAAGAACTTTTAATGGGTGAGTTATACTACTTTAATAGTTAAGTAGGTAAAACAGATTCGTTTCCTAATATATATATATATATATATATATATATATATTTAATACTTTAGTAAATTAACTACAAACAAATAGAAATTATGTAATATCAAATTATTTGTTTCCGCTTTTTGTTTTGAGTCTCCGTTCCCCATGTCTCAGTTTGGTGTCTTAAACTTTCCACTTTATGCTATAGAACGTGTGAGGTGACGGGATTTCACCATTGCGACCAAGGATGCATAGTAATCTCAGCATCAATTACATAGATCCAAATAGTAACTAGATTTACTGAGTTTTTTAACTTGTTTTTCACAAATTATACAATTATAGTTCAGTATCTGATGTTATCCACTAGTTTTTCAATTCACCATTAGTTAAACTGTTCATCTGCGAAACAGTTTCCGAAAGTCTTCGAGAATGAAAATGCACCGAACATTTGTTGTATATTTGACTTATTATGATTGTTAACACTTTAAATCCATCTAATATTACATTTTTCCCCCCTGTATTTGAGCTTTTGTCAATTCCTCATCTTCATATGCATTTATATCAAACACATACTTTGAATATGATCAGCGTTATTAAATCTCACCTATTTAAAGTCAACTTGTCCATAATGAGATATTGAAGCCATAAGGTTAAGGCCAGAAATTTTCTGGAGTGCATTGTATCAACGTTTTTTCGATCTAAGAAATCCATGACGAAGGTGAAATATTTCATGAATAATTTACTGTGCAATATTTTAATTTAAAACTGTTAGACATGATCTTTGGAGATAGAGGATGATGTTACATATATCCTAGACATAGGACTTACACAGCACCATCTTAAAAGGACAAAGTAAGTGACTTTGGGATCGAGTTTAGGAATGTGAACAATCCAGGTTATAAACGTACACACTCTCAGACACTACTTACCATATTATGGTTGGAGAAGTAGGACAGAATAAGAGCTTGCAACACTGGGTTTAAATTTGTACGGCAGTAAAAGCTATTTAATTGTTGAAATTACTGACAATTGTAAAATTAATCTGCTGTTTAAAGGCTGCATATACTTGCTCGGACTTTGGAGGCCAAAATTAAATACTATTGTAAAAATATGAGAGTGATAAGATACAATTGTGTTTTAATCTAATGAGGATATTTGGCTAACCAATCATATAGAGATAAATACCATTAAATAGGTGGTTTGATTTCCTTTCAATAAAGATAATGAATTAAATCGAAACTGAATAATTTCGTTCAGTTATGTTTTTTATATCTAGAAAAATGAGAAAGTGTTGTGGAGCTTAACTTTAATATATTCCACCTAGTGACTATTTTATACCCTAACTAAATAATTATTCGATAATAGAAACATACATCTAAGTGCAATGAAACATTGTTTTTGGATATAATCGATATAGAAGATTACTGACCGTCCTACCTTTTGGTATATTAATTATTCAACTGGATCATTTAGTCGTGATATTAATTTAAGTGAAATTGAATTTCTATGAACAATAAACATTGTAAACTCTTTTTCCACTAGTCATAATCTGTATCTAATAGCCACGATTCAGTCATGAAAATACTTGAGACTGTATATGAATTTCTCGGTGTTCTTTTTCTATAATGTATTAAAATTAAAATTTAATAATTGATGAATGATCAATACTTTTCAATGAATTCATCCTGATGGTGTTTCTGGGAGCACTAGAAAAATAATGACAAGATCAATGAGGTTATTTTGTTGTTTTACCAGTTAGAATATTTTTTATTTTATTGTTTTATAGTTCTTTGAGTCAGAGGTGAATATATCGTAGTACCTAAGATATATATGGTGTGCGAGTTCACTCGTAAATATACATAATAGGAGTAAAACAGTTCATATATATTTCGAGGTGACATGACACTTCACAACAACTCTCATATCTAAACAAGAGACACTAACAGTTTTGAAGGAATCTGCTAATCAATATAGTCGCTAGATTTTAGTACTCCATAACGACTTTTAAAAACTTCCTAAGACTTTTCAATATTTGGACTAAAATTTAATTTGCTTACTATCCTATCTTTTTTTAAAATTGAAGCACCTAACCATAATCTTCAGATCTGACTAAAAAGCATTCAAGATGACAATAGTCCAAACAAAAATATTAAACATGAATGAATTCTATTCTTCATTGAAAGTAAATAAGTCTCATAAACCGAAAATATTTGCACTTAAAACTTCTATCTTTTAAGATAAATTTGCGAACAATTATTTCCACTTTTGAAATTCAAAAGTAGAATTAGTAGGTGGAAATCTCAATTGAATAGTGCTCTTCCTGACAAGACAAGTTAATTGCAAGTATAATGAATTGTTGAAAATCTTGGCTAAATTACATTGTCCTCTTTAATAAATTTACTTATGGTAACTATGTAAGTAGATGTCAGTCTCACTAATAAACAACGTATATTATTCACATAACATGATATCTAGATTCATGCAACCTCTATCAAACTGTCCGTCCATTCTTTATTTAGGGTATTTTAAATCTTGGCGTTTTTTGTTTTAAAAAAGTTATTTTCCCATCTTACATACATGATTGATTACAGATAGAAATGTCGGCTGTTTGTAATTAGTTTTATTATTTTTTTATTATCTCGTTCAAGTTTCATTAACACTTTGATGTATAAATGTTATCATTGTTTACTAGATTGAATTTGGTTCTATCTATATGAAGTATAATTTTAAATGTCAATCATATCTCTTATATAATAAATAGAATAAGTTTATGGTCAACAAATTTTTTTTTAAATCTAAATTAATAATTCGATATCACTTTTAGCTGAAGTGAGAAATAAATTTAAATCTGAGAGATTCCAAATACGTGTTGGGATATTATTATGTTTACTATATGGCAACAATTCTCACGAAACCTTGGTACCAGAATACAACATGTTTCTTCTCAACTTCGAGTACCTCATATAACGATCTTTTATGGAAGATATATTTGGTAGACAACCGAAAAATATCTAATTCACATTCAGGTTAACTTGGTTATATACTAATTAAATTCAATGATCATAATTCACAGAATTTTCCGATTATCATTTGAGTGCATGATCATGATGACTTAATCAATATAATAGAAAAAGTAATGTAATCCAGTGAACAGAATCCGTACAGAATTAATTCATGTAGCGAATATGCATTAAAATTAAACTGAATGAAAATAACCTTAAATCAATAGGGTAGTTAATTTCTTCCTTATTAATTATATTTGAAGGATTTTACATTCTCTATTCATCAACAGATGGAATATAAAAGCAAATACTCTGTCTGGTTGAAACGCGATTGCCAAAAGTGAAGAAAGCAAATTGAAATGATAAACTGAATAATTTTATCAGGTTTATTAAAAGGATAAAAATCATTAATAATATTATGATATTCTCTCATTAATGATTTAGATTCTAACTCCATGACTAAATAAATAAATACTTCGTGTGTGAGTATATATGCGAATATATGAGAATATAGGTGACTATTAGTCTTTTAGCTAGGTGATCCATATATTTAACCAGTAATTTGATTTATTAGTACAAAACCTTAAGATGGTATTGGTAATTTAGGTTATATAGATAGTCATATGTAACTCATCTTTATTGTTCGCAGAAGCATTTGATGTACAGGATAGTATAAATTTTAAATACAATCTACACATCATGCTACTTATATCTAAAAATAAGTAGTGTAAAACATAAAATAGCTAATTTCCTGAGTTTTTTTTAAAAAAATATTTCATGTATTTCAGTTTTATCAGAGAAGATCCAATAAACGGTAATTTTATGGATTCATATACTGAAATACCGAAGGTACAAACATTCTCATCATCTCCATCAATTTCAGTTAAATGTATTCATTTATTAAATGGGAAAAATATGTCAAGTGACAATATTAATCAAAATGATATGAATCATCTAAGAAGTATACGCAGAAGACAGCGTAAAATTAAGAGACGACAAAGTCTAAAATCATTTATTCACTATTCACCTCAAAATCTTAACAGAAATAACAATTATATATCGAATCATTTTGATACATTTAAACGAAGTTTAAGTTATCAACAAATTAAATCAAATAATAATAATAATAATCCTAAATCAACATTCATTTCAACTAATTCATTATTGTCATCTTCATCATCAGTGAATTCAAATGGAAATGGTGAACATTCTAAGAACAAATTTAAACAAAATTCAATATTCATGATGGAATCACAATTTCAACAAGTATCTCATATTTCATCAGATAATATTTATTTACTGTTTAGTAATGATAATAAAAATCCTAATAATACATCCATACAAACGGAAGATAATAAAACGTAAGTAGTTTAGTTCAATTAATGAGATGTTCTAATTCATATGAGTTATATCAAATTGAAATTTTACTTGATGTAGTGCTGTTGTATTCTCGAATGCTGTAAATAGATATTTCTTTATGTATTATGAATGTAGAATATTGTTTATCAATGAATAAACAAGTTAAATACAATAATGCTAGTCAAATAATACTACTCAAAATATTATTGATTGAAATTTTTAAGAAAGCTTATACAGTTGATTGATTATTGATACTTTATAACCAATGATGAGTAGTGGCGAGCAGTAAAATCCAGGACGCGCGTTTCGTCGTATTTGGGACTCGTCGGCTGGAGAAACCTGCATCCTAGAGTTCGTGTCCACTATGGGCCTCAAACCCAGTACCGTTCGCTTCAAAAACCATCCCGTTATTTGTTATATCCTAGTAAAGATCAAATTACGATATATATATATATATATATATATATATATTCATCCTAGATAAACTTAAACGGATATTTAAGTTTATTAAAACAAACTAACATGAATGTGATTAGGTGAACTTAGTTTTACTATTCCGGTGAGTCATTCGTAACATTAACAATGATTAAATTTGTAATATGAATGAAGAAGTTTTAAAGGTTCTATCACCAATAAATTATATATATATATATTCCGAGAGACAAACGGTAACTTTACGTTTTGGATTATGATATTCACGAGAGTGATATTCAACGTAACTGAACAATTTTACAAAAATCATATGTTTTTCAGGTAAATATAGTGTATAGGGACAAAATTTCAAAAACCATAACATTATTTACAGCTAGTTCTCATACAATCGCATAACACCAATTGTAAATGGATAACTCAGGTAAAGCAAAACAATATTGTTGTACAGTTTGAACAGGTTTTACATGACTAGTGAATCTAATAACGTCTTATACAAGTTACTGTGTATGTAGATCGAAAAATACAACAACATATAAATTCATTCTTATGGATACAGATGGTTTGAATTCACGACCAATAATAGGAACTGAACAGTATAACTATTCAGTAACTAGATTGTCTACATTTATATTCATGTTATTATAAGCTTCATTTTAACTTACAAATTATTATTATAGGACTTACTGTTCCTAAATTATGTTCAGTCTATTAACTACCATCTTCAACGTTCACAGCCTCTTTTTGGCTTGTTCTTGTATAAATGTTATTTCCTATTCTATGGTGTGGCTCGTATATAAACCAAGTATGTATGGAATAAACGATTCGCTTAGTGGAAGCTATTATTGATGTTCTTGATTCAATTGGACGGGCTAGGCGAACAAAGGACCAATAAGGACGCTAGGCTGTTCATACCAATCGAACGTTATTGGTTTATCACAATACTAAGATTGAATAAGTCGTATTTCGATTGACGAATAAATCACCTGAAAACTAGCCGGGCTCAAAGTCACAACACTATCCGCTTAGCTACTGAGTCCAGATAGCCACCTGCTTGTGCAATGGGGTGGCGTTTGAAGCGAAAGGTACTGGGTTCGAGTCCCATGGTGAACATAAACTCTGAGATGTAGGTATATCCAACCGACGAATTCCAAATAGGACTAAACGCACGTTCCAGATTCCACTGCTATCCACTATCCATCTTTGCCTATAAAGTTTGTGATCTAAGGCAATATCGACGCAGCCTGCGCAGGATGCACATCTGCCAATTGTAATCCTAAACAATAATCGGAAGATATAAGTAAACAACATCAAGTGGATTATTTATACTGTCTATATTCTTGATCATTAAAGAGTTTTTTAGATTCCTTTTATCTATCTGAACTGACCAGATATCTGTTTCAATCTCTATGAGGCATGATAGTATTTAAAAATAATAAATTTAATTCTGTACGGTTAATAATAATTGTAGCCAAACTGATAACTTCTGAAATGAATTAAATTTCTTTATGATTAGTCTTGTCGTATTAACATTTTATGTATGACAACTAAACAAAAATAGAGAGATATTCCTAGTAATGCCTAGCGAGTTTCGATATAAGCTAGCAATTCTGAGTTTCGGCATAGGGAAATCGCGAAAAGACAGGAAATTGGTCGATCAAGTTTTGAATCTTCATCGAGTGGTGTGATTGGGTATGTGTTATGTATGCCTAACCATTGCTTACCTAGGCAGGGTAAGCTTGGTAATGCCAATACAAAACCTGTCATCAATCTATGAAGTCATTGATTGATGATCTTGGCACAGTAGGTAGTTCCAGACCATCAAGTTAGTGGACACAACCGTCACGATCTATCAATGCAGATCACTGAGTGATGTAGCCAAGAATTAGTCAAAGTGAAGCAGATGTATTGTCGTTTTATTTTACTCCAAATCTCGACTCTCACTATTCCTTTATACAAATCATTCATCTTGTTATTTCGTACCATGTTCTCAATGTTTGGCCTTTCTCATAATCGTTGCTACTACATTATTTCCACTTGTTTGTCATTTGTGTTGTTAGATTTATCTGGTTGTGCTAATGTATTATAGGAACTTGCACCGAGATACATTTGTCCCGTGATCTATGTCTATCATGACTGGCTGATGATTTATGGATTATGTTTTGTGAGGAAGATTGTGTTCAAGTACATAGGATTACCTGTTCAGTAACAAAAATCTTTAATTAAACGTATTATAGGTTATTTTAACCCACTAGTGGTTATTTAATGCATTCATCGATTCAGGAAAATGTATGAAAATAATAGCCATCTTATAATACATTATTTTATTCTTCATTTTTGTTTTTGAGTATTGAATTTTTCGAAATTTTTTTATCCCTTTTCAGCTATTACAATCCCAATAGGGATATTTCACTTCAGAACTGTTTAATTACAAGAAATTCTCTGTTTCCGAGTACTTCATCATTACAATATACTGACTTTAAGTATAATAACAGTAAATGTGATCTTAGTTCAACACTTGTATATTCTCTTGCTCAACCTGGTAAAATCAATGTTAGCACAATACATCAAAGTTTAACTGGTGGTCGTCCATTTTGTTTTGTTTTTACTGGCCCACTTGTACAAATGCCTTCTATAGAAAAAAATGTATACTTAGAAGATAAAACTTTATTCACTCATATATTTGCTACAGAGAGTTGGGAATCACGTGCTAGATGGATAAAAAGGTAAACTTTAGTTTTATAAAAAGAAAAATGTTATATTTTTGGCATATTTATTAACTAATAATTGTGTAAATAATTTCGAGCTAATTGCTGTCATATGTGGATATGTAGTTAAAAATCATTCAGTTAAATTATCGGACTTAAATAGTCAACTAAATGCAAAAATGTATTCAATTGTGTAAATATCAACATTTCCCACACACCTTTACTACACAGATTATCTCAACCAATAATATTTGTATGTAGAAACTAAAGTTATTTGGTTGACTGAACTGTCATTATATGATTGGTTAAATTTTTTAAGTTGGTTAATAATCAGGCTGATTTAATCCGACAATTTATGTGAAATGTCATATGGACAAGACACGTGTTTACTATTACAGTGACGATGAATTTACTCTTATACATGTATCGAAGCATTTCTTATATGTATTAAGGAATTTTTATTCATAACCTGGAGATGACCACTGTAATAAATGATCAGTTGAATGACATGAAATCTAGTGATTTTTTATTTAAACAAATATTTACACTGGAATCAAATTCAAAGCCGAAACAAAATCCTATGAGCCTCAGCACTAATGATATTTTCGATATGGAACCTTACAAGGATAAATGTGATAAAAATACTTGTGGAGTAGTTTATTCTTCTCTTATCACTATGTCATCATATGATAGTTGTCGTGTATTAAATGAACTTGAATATGGAAGTCGGTCTTTACCGTCAGCTAATTCTCGTTCATATACTAGACAATTAATTGACTTTTTTCCAGTTTTTTGGGAAAAAGAAAAGCTGTTAGTTATTTTCAGAAAACATCATCTTCGATTACACTCACGGAGGTATCACGGAAACACTATAATGATTTGTGGGTTGGTTCATTAAAGTAAGAAATTTTTTAAATATTATTTAGAAAATCCTGATTTCGATCATTTAAAACTATTTTGAGTTGATTAACTTAGTTTAATAGGGTTATTTTACAATATCCACGTTTGGTGTTATAGTGTTTCGCTTATTATATCTTTATGAACTTATTCAGTTGTTTTGTTCAAGAAAAGGAATTATCGAATTCGACTCCTAAAATGACTTGATCATATACTCAACACTTAAAATAGCGTAAAACAATATTTAGTCACTTTAAAACGTTTGATTCAATATCCAATTTGTATACTATTTGTCATATGACACGTAATTTGGCAACATTTTTAGAGTAAGAGACTATGTTATAATTTTTTAGTTGCCTTGATAAAATCTGTTGTTAGCTCATGATCATAGGGTAAACACCTACGTGATTATCGGTCAAGTTGTTAACTTAAATGATGAATATCATTTCATTCGTCATAGTCAAATGGATTATGTAGAATAATCAGATTGATAAAATAAAAAAGACAATTTTTACGTAATATCACCTAGACATTTGAAATTTCCCTATTTTCAGTTAAATTCTTCATCAAGAGATCCATAGTGATAACACTAAACCCAGACGTTTTAAAATAAAAGGTTCTTTTACGAAGAGTAATTTCTAGCAGAATCTTCTACACTTTTGTTCTGATCAATTGCATTCCTAAAGATCAATGAGAAGATCTAAAAGAGCCTATATATATATATATATATGCATAGGATAACATTAGTTAAGTAATATGCTTTCTGCAAATGAAGCTTTACATCCAGTATCAAAAACGTTAAATGTACGGCACTATCCATATATATGTGTCATTGTATTGTGAAACATATGTGTCATGTTTTCTATCTTTAATTCGTTATACAACAGCATGACATATTAAGGCTTTATCTAGCTTAATTTCTTTAATAAGTAGGAAATCATCATGTCAAATTAAAAAATGGTGAAGTGTATTTTTGATTTTTTTTGTTAGTTGTCAGCTTTCGTTACAAAAACACTTTGGTTCTGTTGTTTGATGAAAGAAATAGGTGTGTAGATAATGGGACATTTGCAAATCAGATAGATTCTACATTGGCATTTATAATCAATTGGTCTTCTTGACAGTATGAAATATATGTAATTTCAACTTGAACATAACTCTTTACTCATAATGTTAGTCAGGTAAAGAATTACGTCAATAGGATTTTCATTGTCTGAGTTTAAAAAACATTCTGTAAATATCCTCATATTCATGGTGAACTTTATATTATTGTACTGATTTGATTATGCTATCATTTTCTTAACATATTCATGAAGTAAACATGTAATCGCTTTAAATAGTATAGGTTTCTAATCATTATAATACTTATGATTTTATTCAGTTGAATGTATTTATCCTCATAATAACAAACCGGGTCACTCTTGTACTTTGTTGTATACTATTATTATTCATCTAAGGCCTTGACTTTTTTTGTCTATTGGAAAACTAGAATTTCTACTGTTAACTTATTATATTTACTCAATACATTGTCAGCTATACCTATTGTATAAGAGTAAGAATATTACCAACCTTTCTTCATTAGACGATCATATTAGTATTTGAAGTTTCTTACATAGTTCTATGAGCCATCTATATAGACAGTTGAGCTTCAATTGTACTCATTTTATCGGTAATATGACTGATACGAAGTTGTTATACGGTATTATTTTCTCTAGATGTTATTAACATTTATTGACTTAGTTGTCTTTTATACCAAAAGATTGTTCCATCTGTTTGAAGATGGAAACTATTAGTCAAAACTTTAATTGTTTAGTGTTTCTATTTTACTTGTTATAAATCATGTTACTCAATCAGATAAGTTTAATATATTCCATCTAATTAGTAACGAAAGTGTTAGGATTTAAAATAAATAATAATAATCGATTTGAATCCTGTTGAAATTACGGAAACTTTAAAGATGGTTGCATATATTTTAATGGTCCATCTGAAAAAGAAGAGGTAAACATGTATCTTAAATCTTTGTTTACATGTTTATAAGGAATTTTCTGTTCTGAGTTCTAGTTAGCAAATTGACTAACGAACTATCCTTCAGTTGTATAGTTTAGTCATTAAATACAGTTTTAAGGAGTTGAAAAATTGCACTATGTTTATATTTCGAATGTCCTAAATTAGTTGAAGAGTTTTCACCGCTGATATCAGCTTTCCTAATGGACTTTTTTTCAGTGCAATTTTTTATAGAATTACTTTCGGATTTTTAAGTTATGGTTGGTATATTTTCTTTAGTTCGATTTATATTTTAGTATTTCTGATATTGAATAAGACAGCTGTTATTGTGTCGAAATCCATTTTTATTCCTTATTTTACTAACTAATGCTGATATTAACATTGTTTCACCTTACTATCAACCAACTTATGTCAATCTCGCTTTGACTGGGGCGTTTCCACCATATGTAATGTTTAAGTAATTCATTGTAAGGACTAAACATTGTCTATTTGAAATATATTTTAGATATAGATATTTAGTATATTATACAAAGATTAATACTGAACAGTAGATATAGTTTAAAGTATTGTATGAACATATAGATTAAGGATTTCATGAGTTCACAACCAATGTGAATCTGCATTTCTTAGCTAACAATTACCGTAAGTTTAGAAGTAAGAGTCATTTAACTGAATAGTTGAAAATGAGACCTAATTACAGGGGAGTGAATGTCTTCCTTTTACAACTTTTATACACTAGACTGTCAAGCAAAAGTTAATTTATAAGAACAGAGTTTTATTTCATTTTATTCTATTTGTTTGAAAATTTGCTTTTAACCTTAGACCTTAGTGATGTGATACATACATACGATACATAATACTGCTACATTGTTCGATGAAGTAACCAATCGAGAATCGGTTAGGTTAAATTAGGATATTTTTTACAATGATTAAGACAGATGCTTTAAATTGCAAGTGAATGTAAACCTCAATATGCGATGTCAAGTGAATAAATCAAATGAACCATTGAATTAGTCAATTTGAGATATCCAATTATTCTTTAATTTTATTACCTATTTAATTTTACCTACTTGAGAATTTAATGATTAGCAAATATCAGAAATTGAAGACCGTGTAATAATACAGGTGATAATCATGGACGTGGATCTATTACTTATTTCCTTCAACAGACTTTTGTTATGTTGTCTTTAAAATTCCCTCATATTGAATAAATGTTTCAGGTTTAATGTTTTAACTAATCAGTTAGACTGTGAATCTATAAATATATCTTGCTGTTAACTTTGACACTACATTTTTATATCACATTTCCATTTACTATTGTGCTTTGTTCCTACGTAGATTGTGTAATTCAGAACTTCAATATTATAGTTTTTTATTAATGTTAGTAGTAAAGTTACAAACATATCACCAGTAAACTATTTCTTAATATTATTCAAGTCAAATTCGATTGGCGTCAGTTGTTCCTTATATTCACTGGTTTGAATAGTGAGTTGGCATTTAACAAAGGTTACTTTCATATCATCCATAATTAATTAACCGACACCATTAATGAAATTTATAGTTAGTAGTTTATCTTACAGATTTATTCATTATTAACTGCGAAAAGCATTTTCTATATGTTTTTCAGATATTGATTTTTAGCTGAATATTATACACACAATTCATTGATCGATCGATTTATTGATAATAACCTATGTCTGTTCTAACTTAAGGCCATCTTTGCTTATAATGCTTGACTGATCAAGTGACATTCAAACCATCAATAGGAAGATTCATACAACCAATACAAATGAATTCTTGAAAATGGTTTAGATGGTTCTTTACACATTATTATGGGATTTTTGCAGATAGGCTTAGAGCAAACAAAATTTATTTGTGTCCAATACTGCTTTGAAAACGTTTGTATTTCGGTGTATTTCAAACATAGAGTAGTGTTTCAAAGGCACATGATCAAAACTCCGCATACTACGCATATCTTCTGCTTTTTTCAGTATAGGGTTGTGGACCACACTTTACAGTCATAGATTAGTATTGGGACGACTACTGATATGTTTACTAATTCTTTTGTTAGCAGACGGATATCTTGCTTACGTCACAAGTGACTCAGGCCATCAAAGGCCAAGAGAGCTGTTTCAATTCATGAAAAGATTTTGTTAGATATCCACCCATCAGGACTAATGTAGCTGTGGGTATTTCGGAAAGTTATATATATATATATATATATATATATATATAGCTTTATTTGCCCTGGTAGATAGACTCGTTCATGCTATTACAAATAATCCAAGTCTGCTTGACTGAGTTAATAGTGAAGAACATAGAACTTGAGCTAGCTTTTGAATAACATTAATGCTTAACCGTTTACAAATATTTAAGATTAGTTTAATGCTGTTAAGCATGAAGTCGACAGCCTTTCTAAAATTCATAAAATCTAATTAGACCGTAGTAGTGTAAAACATTTTTTATGAAGCTGTTATCTTGACGTGGATTTGAATGAATGACATCACTTTCATTCTAGGTAGATTACACATAGATGAAATATTTGATGGGATACATTTTAAGTCCTAACTAGTAATTTCTAGAATTCTGTGTTTATTATTTTTAAAATCTGTATGTTTTAGTCTTCTTAATTTACTTTCTACTCCACTTGATCTCTTACAGTTTATGTCTTAAAATAGTTTATTTCTATATATTGACGGTTTGAATTCTGTAACAGTTAAAATTTCTTATTCAAATATATTTCAATTTTGACAGTAAATTAAATCAATCAAGATATTGAGTGTATCCATTAATGTTTAGTTACTAAATAATATAAATTATCTATAGTAATTCTTGAAATCATTGTACAGAATTTCAAACAATTACTTGTTTCGTTTTCATTCAAGGATTCCTGTTGTGATCATGTTATACGGTCTTCACTGTTATATATATATATATATATATATAATAACATTATCCATTCTTTTGGATTCATTACTGTTAAACACATAATCAATTTTTTTCATTCTTACATGTTGATCAATGACCAAATTGTTCACTGACCTTGAAGTGAAAACTGCACACGGATAATATATTGAAACATGTAGACACATATGCATCCATATATATATATATATATATATATATATATATATATATATATATATATATATATATATATATATATATATATATATGACTACATATGAATATATTTATAGATGAATCTTCAGGTCATTTAAACTATATCCTGTTTGTATGTAGTACATCCATTATTTATTTACTTTGATATTGTTGTTGTTAACCGGTAAAGAAGAAACATAAAAAAGTGGAAGAAGGAATAGTTTATCTTTCGAAAATTTCATGTTGTTTGTCGTAAACTATTCACAGATAGATATATATATATGTTTATCCAAATATTTGTGAATATACAAAACTAGTTGAAATGAATAATAAAATTACATCTAAATTAGTTTGTCGTCGGTACTTTTGAATACTTTGTTTTTGATTGTATCTGTTAGTACTTTTGGTCCTAACAATCTACAGTTTTCCACTTTTTTTTGGTCATAGATCATTTTTGTCTCTGAGTATTATCGCATCTAGTTCTTTTTTTTAAAAAAAACCCTGTTTAATGACTGGACAGTGCAAAAAAAGCGATTCCCAATGTCCGGGCTGTCGTTATCTCGTTGAAAGCGCCATACAGTGCGATGAGTGCAAAGGCTGGTACCACGAAGTTTGAACGAATTTAACGCCTGCAGCTTTCGAACGGTTCAGTAAAAGCGGTTGCGTATGGCTTTGTCAACAGTGCTGTTCGGATGCAAACAGCTTGCTAACCGAGGCCATCTCAATGGTAAATGCTGCAAAAAAGTGTTTTGGCAAGCGTGGTCTGAACACATCGGACAGTAATCGCTCTGTCGACACGCTAATTGGTGTGAAGCAAACTCAGGTGAGTTCGAAAACAACAGACTCACACCGACCAAAGGTGTAAAAACAGTCTTCAAAGAGGTCTGTCTTAACTAAAAGCTCAAGAAAAGAAGTTTCTTCTTTCCCCCGTCTTCTAAATGGTATCCAGCATTTAACGCCTAGAAGCCACAGTCGTAAGGCTCAGTCGGTTTCCAGCGAGAAACATAACCTGACTTCCCAAGTCATCGACAACCCTCCGTAATCCCACACTAGGTTTGACGCGACTGTGGTTGCTTCTCCAAGCAACGTTGACGAATGGGTACAGGTTGTAAGGAAGAAACAACATAGCGATATAAAAGGGAAACCTATCCTCGTAAAAGTAGTCGAGAAATCAAAGGCTGATCGCAGTGACAGATCAGTTATTTTTCATAGAATTAAGGAGAGTGAAAGCTCTGAACCAAAAACTCGTTTTGAGCATAACATTGTGCTGATAAAACAGCTACTTAAGCAACTCATGCCTCAAAATATCTCCGGAGTCACCCTGCTAAAGGTGTACAGGCTAGGTAGTCTAGCGAACTTGAAGCCTAATCAGTCCAGACTGCTTAAAGTAGTATTCAAATCTCCGAATGAACGCGACTTAATTTTGCAGAATGGACATAAATTAAAGGGTTCGGGAGTTTTTATCCGTAAGGAATTGCCGTTGGCAGACCGTGTAAAATGACGGGAAGCCGAGAAAGAAGTACAACTTAGGTTAGACGCTGGCGAAAAGGACATAAAAATTGTAAATTTCCGGGTTGTAAGGCTTCGACAGAGAACGATGCCGAAGCCACTCTGGGTAAAACATGAAGCCACTTAAGTAGGCTTCGGATCTGTTACACTCAATAAGCTATCGGAACTTGGTGTACAAATTGACTCTACAAAGCTAGACATAATTGCAGTCACAGAAACCTGGCTGACACAGTCTATATATAGTATGGAATTTGATTTCGAGGGTTTTACGTTAGTAAGAGCCGACAGAATACAAAAGAGTAAAGAAGGGGAAGTAGCTCTATTCATTAGGAATTCTATCCCATTTGCCATTATCGACAGTGTATCCCATGAGAGTGGGACGTGTGAATTAGTTAGTCGCCGCTTGAAATTCAGGGGACAAGAGCTGCTGATTAGTTTGGCCTATCACGGTCCAAGCTGTGAGGTAAATGAGGTCCTACTAAGCAATCTCAGTACTTGGTCACAAAGTGGTCGATGTCTAATCCAAGGGAAATTTAATGAACCTATGGTAGACCAGGAAAATCTGCAAACTGAATCGTCAGATAATTCCTTCGAGCAGGAACTAGTTGATGCGGTTATCACATGTGCCCTAGTGCAACATGTGAAAGAAGCGACTAGGTACGACCCGGACTCTGAATCATCCTTATTAGATCTTATACTGACTCACTATGAGGATGGTGTTGCGAACCTCCATCATATGCCACCCCTAGGTAAAAGTGACCACGCAGTTTTAACTTTCGACTTCCATATAACTGCCAGTCACGAGCACGCGTCAGTCCAGTCCAGACCCAACGTCTGGAAAGCAAACATACCAGACATCATGCACTCAGCATCGTTAATAGATTGGAAAATAGACCCAGAGTCCTCCATTGAAACGGCCTGGGACGCATTTCGAAATTCATACTTAAAAGTTACCACACCTCACATCCCTTGGACTATACCAAAAGGGCCGAAAAACTTACCACCATGGTTCAGTAGGGAGGTCCGTATCCTTCTCCGTAAGAAAAGGAAAATGTGGGATAGATTTAGGTTACTGGGGACTGATGAGTCGAAATCCCAGTATCGAAAGGCTCGGAATACTTGTGCGTCGACCCTCCGTAAGTCTAGAAAGTTGTACGAAGAAAAGATTGTTAAGGACTCCGTAGAATGTCCTAAACGCTTGTATTCTTATATAAACGAAAGGACAAAGAGAAGAGGAAATATTCCTGCTCTATGGGGAGACAGTACTGCTTCATCATTAGTGGAAGACGACTTTGGTAAGGCTCAAGTGTTCTCGAACTACTTTAGCAACGTATGTACCATAGAAGCGCCCTTCCCGTCAGCGTATACAGATCCCCCCATACATACACTGGATAGCGTGACCATTAAAGAACTCGATGTCTTTGGTCTGCTAAATAAGCTTGACATAGGTAAATCCACGGGGCCCGATGAATTACATCCTAGGCTACTGAAGGAATTATCTAACTTCGTTGCAAGCCCTTTAAGTACATGCTTTAACCTATCCGTTACGCAGAGTCGTTTACCAAAAGACTGGAAAAACGCCATAGTAAGTCCTGTCTTCAAAACAGGTACGAAACACAAACCTGAGAACTACCGCCCCGTTAGCCTAACTAGTGTGGTTGTTAAAATCTTAGAAAAGATTATTCGGAAGGAGCTGTTTAAGTACCTTGATGAAAACCGGATCCTTTCGGAGGGAATCTTTAGTTACATTCTCCTAAAATTACACGTTTTCTGACATTTATTCCCTGACAGCAAGAGCTATGGTATAGGTTCTGTACGACTTAAAGTAGTGGCTAGGTTGTTGGCGAGTGTTAATGTTGAGCTAAAACACAGCAGGTTCGAACAGAACTTCTTCTTAAAAACAAAACTCCACCTGAGCTGCAAATCTTCACCATCTTAGACCTTTTTTTGATGTAAATAGTCAGACTCTATCACTAGTGCTTACACAGAAATGAGTTTTTTAAATATATTTTTGAATAGGAACTTTTATATCGCTAACTTCTATTTTGATTCTACAACAATCGGAACATGATTGTTAAAATCAGTCAATCAAGTTTCCTCCCATACATTCTTAAGCTCTCTGAAAAAGACTTTATGAACATGAAAATAATCTTAATTTAGTACGTTTTATTGATGAGTATCAGTCGTAATATTTCACATGAATATGTTATTTTCTAGTATTTTTCTTATCCGAACTAGTTCATTTTCCAGACTAATGCTGTATTTGTGTAGTAAATTTCTAATATATCTAGCGGTAATTGAGGAACGATAAATTATGATTTCATTCTCATTTAACATATTTTTTAAATTTTAATTTCAGTCTTCGAAGGACAGCAAAACCGAATTTGGAGAATGAATATCATCTGGAAAATTCCTTAAAATTATCAATTTTAGAAGCAAGAAATATCTCACCAAAGCACCGGTAAATTGTACACCATTCTTTTGAATTTATTTAACATTCATTAATATGCCAATTATTTATGATGATAATGATTGTTTTATTGTTTAATTGAATAGAAATGTTTTGACTATTTATTGTTACCTTCGGAATTATTTCCTGAAATAAAAATAATTTAAAGTATGAGTAACATTTAGAAAATCAATGGTTAGTATGGTGTATTATCACTCACTTTATTATGTTATCTAACTATTTATATTGAAAAGTTTCTCAGCCAGTCGTTAAGTAGCAGACTAATTATGTTATGTTCTCATGATTCTATGTTTCAGGTCGTTTTTGTTTAGGGAACATCGATAATATGTTATTACTTTTGTAGTGTGTGTCACGTTTTGGGAATTTTAGCAAATAAAAACTTATATGTATCATGAGTTTGCGTAAATTGTTGAAGTTTATAGCTTACATAACTGATTGATCTACGTTAAATAACCATTGAAAACCAGAAAGCAGTATAAAAGTGTAGTACTCCTCAACAGTACATAAATACAATAACACGGGGAATCAAACCTAGGCCATGGTTTGTCCTTTATATTACTAAATTAGTATCCTAGCATTTACATGTCTAACTTCAATCGATTCACAATTATTTATATACCTTCCATTCACACTGTCATCTGGAAAAACATTTGATGCTTTAAAGAAGTATGGTCGATAGTTGTATCTATTCTCTTGGTTTAGTTGTCACTAGATAAAAGTCAAAGAAGCTTAATTGCGATCCAAAGGAATTTAGACAGTTTAATTAAAGTAATATCCTTTAAACTGAACGATAGAACAGTAAACGAAAAAAGGCAAGATTATAGCACAGGGAGGAGCTAACCAGAAACAAGAACGCGAGTTTTAGGTATAAGAAGTAGTAGACATATATTTGTATACTTCGCAAGACGTTTAAAGCCATAAAGGAAAATTACCATACTGTAAAAAGGATAATGCTTAATGTAACAAATCTTTACTTTGGTATCTGTCGATTGTATATAACAGGGAAATCAACTCTATCACTAAATTCCTACCGTAACATGGTGTCACTCTATTTTATGGACAAACTAAATTAGATGGTGACTCTTGTATTTATAATGAAAATTCATTGATCTAATTGACTACAAAACACTTTTGCATCACATCGTATGTTAGTTCATGATGAAAATTACAACCCTAACAAGGAACAATGTGGAGATTTTAAAAAACTTATTGAGTTCCTATTATTGGTCGTGAATTCAAACCATCTGTATCCATAAGAATGAATTTATATGTTGTTGTATTTTTCGATCTACATACACAGTAACTTGTATAAGACGTTATTAGATTCACTAGTCATGTAAAACCTGTTCAAACTTTACAACAATATTGTTTTGCTTTACCTGAGTTATCCATTTACAATTGGTGTTATGCGATTGTATGAGAACTAGCTGTAAATAATGTTATGGTTTTTGAAATTTTGTCCCTATACTCTATATTTACCTGAAAAACATATGATTTTTGTAAAATTGTTCAGTTACGTTGAATATCACTCTCGTGAATATCATAATCCAAAACGTAAAGTTACCGTTTGTCTCTCGGAATATATATATATATATAATTTATTGGTGATAGAACCTTTAAAACTTCTTCATTCATATTACAAATTTAATCATTGTTAATGTTACGAATGACTCACCGGAATAGTAAAACTAAGTTCACCTAATCACATTCATGTTAGTTTGTTTTAATAAACTTAAATATCCGTTTAAGTTTATTTAGGATGAATATATGTAAATCCTATATAATATAATGTCGCAAAATTAATACACGTAATACTTTAAAATTATATTTTTAATAAGTAAAGATGGATAGTGTCTAGTAGTGGAATCCAGGACGCGCTTTTCGTCCTGCTTGGGACTCATCAGCTGGATGTACCTGCACCTCAGAGTTAATTTTCACTCCGGGACTCGAACCCAGTACCGTTTGCTTCAAACGCATCGCGTTGTCCACTTAGCTAGTGAATCCTGATGGCCATGTGCTTGTGCAATGGGATGAAGCTTAATTCACTTGGTATTGTTTGCTTGTATATTCCCATTGTTGTTTAGGACTGCCATTGATCAATCTCTTGTTCGAGTCCCGGTGTGAACATCAACTCTAGGATTCAGGTACATCCAGCTGACGAGTCCCAAATAAGACGAAAAGAGCGTCCTGGATTCTACTGCTAGCCACTATTCATTTTTGTTTATAAAGGTTGTGACTTAAGCCAATATCGAGGTAGTTTGCACAGGATATACATTTGCCAACAAGAGACTGATCAATGGCAGTCCTATACAACAATGGGAAGATACAAGCAAACAATACCCAGTGAATTATGTTTTTAATAGCTAGGATGTAATAAGAATTGTGGTACTGTTAGAATAATTGTTATATATTTATTTATGATTATACTAGCTTATCTATATCGGACTGTATACTGAAAGTAAAAAGCGAAACAGTTGTTTATTCACATTTATTTTACATAATAAGTTAAAAACATTTTCGTAAATTAGTAATTAAAGAAATAATTTATTCATGTATGGTCATTTTAAATATTTAGACTTGTCTTTTCTCTCGTCTGCTTTTTTGTAACAAGAAAAACGATTTGATTTTCAGTTTTAATATTTAGTTTAACCGAGTGGATTTTTTATTTCCTTAAGTGTTTGCAAGATCATTATTAGTTTCGAATATAGAAAGTTTTCATCATGATCCGATATTAGTCGGATCAATGCGGGAAGTGGGGAAACGTTGTGTAGTTTTTGATTTATCAGCAAAACTAACTCTCGATCTCATTTCAGATTCTATTCGTTACGTTCAGTTCATCATTGGTTATGGGAAAGAATTTATCTTTTCTATTTAGTATGTCTTCTTAAAATGAAAATAGCAATACTGGAAATGATAATAGTAATATTAACCTGTGCATAGAATGAAATACACTATTAGCTGTCATCAATGACGGTCACATAGTATCGTTCTCCAAATTGCACATTGCCCGAATGTATGTAATGTATTTTAATTCATCTTATAAGTCGTATTTCTGGGCACAAACAGGACACAGTAACAGATGTATGTCTGATGATCTTTTAGAGTTATTACGTTGGTAATATGGAGATAAAAGTATTATTTCCGGAATTCCGCAGTGTTTCCTTCTAAGAAATAAAGCTAAAAAGAGAGGCAAGCAGCAGCTAATTGGTTTAAAAACAACATGCAATATTTCATAAAATACCAATAACGTATGGAATTTATGGTACTAGCGACGATAATAAATTGAGCATAAATAATATCATTAAAGGCAATTATGAAGTCATATTTTCACAACATTACCTAGAGTTATATTATCTGAAATATCTTATGACGTGTTCAACATTTCTTGAACATCTATTCATAAATTTCAATAGTCACTGTAGTTATTTATCTTCTATAAGAAACTTTCATGATTGATGTAATACCCTTTATTTGACACATTTTTAGGCTGGTTCATGACTTGGACATATTTCAGATAGTATATCACCTTGATTAAATCAAAGATTAATGGGTATGGATTGTACGTTCTGTTTGATATCGCTTTACAATTATAACTAATGACTCACTACTTTTTAAGCGCAACATTGATCATAATTTACTTCAAATAAACAAATATAACAGTATAAAGTCATCATTGGTTAAGTACCTGTGTATTTCATATATTTTTAAAATTCACTGCAATTTCTCATTTATTTAGTTCTTGATGGGTATTAGTGTCCTAGTTACATATTATCCCACCACTTCATAATATAATACAATTACATTGGAATTTAAATGAATAATTACTTTCATTTAGTTGAATCATAACCTGTAATTATAATTGATTGATTTTTCATCCAGACATAGATTTGAAGTGTACATATTTGAGGTAAACCATTTTAGACTACATTTTATCCAGTTTACTTTTATAACAGTTTTCTTAAATGAAGGAATTTATGCACTGGAGAAAGGCTAGATGAACGCTAAAATAATGAAATCAATTCAGTCATTTTTTATTTCACATAGACTAAATAAGGAAATAGTTTACCCACCATCTGTCAATCATTTTTCTTTCAAAAAAGAGGGCTTTACATTTATTTGTAGATGACAAAACATAATCTCAGAATTTCTTATAAGGAGTTTATAAACTTTGTTTCTTTATACTCTCAAAATAATTGTAACACTTGGATCAATAATATTTTAATGTGTATCTTGAAAAATATTTAAACAATTAAGAAAAATCAAAACTGGCACCATAAGTATTTACACGTAAATTGTTTCAGTTGCTGTTTATGATAATCATTAGATTTTATTGGTAAAATCATGGACAGATGAGACAGTCAACCACCGATAACATCAGATGTTTGTGGAATATTGCAAACTTATTATATATTTAAACATGAAATCCACTGAGTGTCAGCTCACTGGTTTAAAGGTAAAGGGTTCCATGCAAGATCTTATGGCCCTAGGCTTGATCCTCAAGGGTGTCTTGGACAATAACCATTGAGGAGTCCTACACTAGGATCAGACAGCTGCTCACAACTTTCTGGTTTTAATGATTGTTTAAATAACATCAATCCCTAATGTTAACCATAAAGATGATATATCTTTCTTTTCAGATTCATTTTGTTTCCTGAAATTCGCTTCTTTTCGTGGTTGAGGTTGATCTATTCAACACATCCAACTAGTAAACCCTGTATTCTTAAACTAAGTGTTACCAGAAATAAATTATTTAGTCAACATCTTGCTTCCGTCATATTCCAATTGCATAATACACGTTCTTAGATTGTCCGTTAGTCTTCAGAGAATGATATAATACATATTAAAAAACCAGACTGAAATCCAACGATAAATAAACTTAACAAACAAAAAAAACTAATTTTTTATTTTGATGAAGCCTTTTTTATAAAGTTGAACAAACGGATTCATTTTTACTCCATAAAAATAGACTATTTGGGAAGTTCAACACAATTTATATGGTTTCCTAATTATCCATCATTCAAAATGATTTGTTATGATGTATAGTAATAGTAGAAATGAAGGGATAGGGTAATAGGTAAAGATGGAAAATCGATTGATTAGGTAATGAGTTTTCATCAATTACGTAGTTGCGACATGTGTTATGGTCGTCGCCTACCTTGACGCTCTATGTTATCTAGTGTAGGAGTAGGTCGGAAGAAAGCTAGGGGTGACGAAACCATGACATGGTATCAACCAATTAAATCACTGGATGATGAACTGAGTCATATAATTAGGTGCGGACCACCTCGTAGAGCTCCTTATGATCATAGTAACCAATGGTTAAAGACTTTGAGTGAGATGGCCCAAAATCGTTTGAAATGACAAAGGTGGATCCCTTTTTTGTATATAGTTACCATGTTCTATGTTGCGCTTGACTGACTGATATTTGATGAAGGTGAAGTAGATAAAGGAGTAATTTTATCACTGAAAAGAAGCGCGTATAGATAATTTACATTTTACAGCATCATATGGTTTATTATTCAGTTAAACGTGCATTCATCCCCAATCCCTTCACAATGACTATGAAAAGTTTATGTGTACATAAGGCTGATAAACGTGGAACATCCACTGGGTTTTAGAGGAATAATCTCGCTAATTGTTGTTTATCATTGTAATTCGTAGGATAGTGATAGACACAGAACATCCGAGTTTTATCAAATTCATTTATTTATTGAAAGTAGTTAACCGAAAATGTCCATTTCCATTTTGCTTAACCGTACGCCTTGCTCTGAAACTTTTTAAAGCTCACTTTTGTGATTTAACTTTGAACATTTTAACATTAATACCTTAACAAAGCAAAAACCGTCACTGATACTTATGAATTCACATTGTTCCAACTCTAGAATCGGTATCATTATAATTTTTATTAGAAATTGTCTCTACGACTTCACAAATTTAGTTCAAATTAGTAATTCTACCAGTACAAAACAGCCGTCCAGCTCTGTCTGATTTTCACTGGTTGCCTTGCCAAGATCAGTCTGTCATGTAAACTAAGAAAATCCAATAATCTCCACAAAATTCTTGTACAAATAATAATCACATGCACACTGATGAATAACTTTCAGATCCGATTACTAGAGTTCTATTGAGAAGCTATGACTCGTGAAATTAAACCATGACTGATGTGAGACAGTTATTCACTTTAATGAATGAGGGATGGTCGCACAATATTGAGAACATACTGATTTGTAAATAAAAGTTCAGTAGATTATCTTCTAAAGTTTTATTCTCACTTTTTTTATGTCACGTTGAAATAGTAAAATAATTTACTCAACATTACCACTCATCATAAGAGTTAAATTAATGTGGTGTATCAAAGAGACTTACGCGATATATATCACTAATTCAAAATGGTTGTAAAATTAGTAAACATGGGAATTTCTCATCGGATATACCTGAAGTAGTGTTTCATCTAAAGTACATATAATAATTTAGAAAAAAAATAGTAATTTATATTACTGATAATATTATCAAATCATTCCGATGTTCATATTGAGGTTTCACAGGGTTCAACATTTTTTAAAAATTCCATTCTCAAGGGATTCGGTTTTCTCTGTTTTGCGCTCTTTTCTTGTTTGTGTTAATACAAAACAGTTATTTTCTTTTTCTTTAAAAAAAACATTGTCTATCAAAGGTTGACTTTTTCCCATTCATCTATTGAGTTTAGTATGTTATTCATCATCCGAATGAAGATGTACATGTTAGACATCTGAGTTAAGGAGTATTGTCATCTAGAAACACTACAATCAAATATTTGAGCTAAAAATAAAAGGAGGGCGTACAAAATAATACAAACGTATAGAGAGTATGCCAGTGAAAATGTATTTGCTCTAGTTGCTGTATCTGTTTACATTGTGTTTCTAAATGTCGAAAAAATCATGTTTTCATTTAAAAAAGCTTTCTACTAAGGACTCAACATAGGCATTACATTTCAGTATATGATGTATGATTTCACTATTATAGTTTATAATTTAATTACTGGTTTTATTTTATACTATAACAAAACGTAACACAAATTTGATTATTTTCTTGAACATCTTTTTTCAAAGTTACTACTGTGATATTTGTTTGGATCGAACTTTGTATGCGCGTACTACCAGTAAGACAGCTGTTTCAGGCATATTTTGGGCGGAAGATTTTGATTTAAAGTATGTCATTAATTGATATTGAATATTTATTGCAATCTTAATAATAGTAATGACGTTTCTAGAATTATTACTCTTTTCGTTGTTTAGGGTCATCTACATGTTTCTACTTATTTTGTGAAATCCATCTTCATATCTATCTGATTCATTGTCTGTTATCTGGTGTGTAACTCGTTAGGAAACCTTACCGGCTAAATGTTATTTACATAAAATGACAGCTGTTATTCTATACCAATATATTCAGTCAGATCGCAAGTACTTCTGTCTTTTGATAACTAATCGAATATAGGTATCAACCCAGCTTGTTTTCGAAATGGGATTTTAAGATAACAGTGCACAGTTCCAATATGTGTGTTGGGTGTCAATCGCATGCTTTGTGATTTGGAGGAAACTGTAGAAATAACGTAATCACAATAGATTATATTGCTTCAGAGAACCATTTTATAGGATTATAGTGGGGAAATAAGTCAAATTTATCGTCAAAATAAACGAGATTATGTTGTTTGGGTGACGATAGTGTAGATAAAAGAAACCCTTGATAAGTGATTTGTTTTCCGTTCGTTCGAAAGTGAACTAGAAAAACTCGTTGTTCATATAAAAACGTTAAATACATTTTAATTTTGAGATGGTGGGAAATGTTTTAGTCCAGAATAAGTATTTTCAAGGTGTCTGTTCTCTAAGCAGTCTGGTTCGATCGTGAAGCTTTGATTGTCTTTCTCGAAGAATGCACTTTAGAATTTTAAAAACTGTGGTAAAGGAGTAAAATGATCTTAAATTTTTAAAAGTTAAAAACTAAGCGTTTTCATTATCTATCCTCACATTAGTTAACAATATTCAAGTATTTCTAAGGGTCACTATCCAATTCCTCCAAGTCCGTCCCTATATTTTGTCATGCCACTAAGTTTTCGTAAAATTTTATTTGGAAGATCTATTTCGTATTTCGCGTCTAAACTGTTGATTCAATCATCTCCGTTACTGAAATATTTACACAAATCAATTGTTTCGTTACAATAATCTAATGTTAAATTTCAGTCAACTGAACTATATTTTGATATGAAACCAATAAATTTGATGCTAACTGGTCACTAGTTATTTATTCTTTATCTAATTAAATAACTGTAGTCTTTATACATTTTACTTACTTCATAAGTCAAAGATGATTATTTAAATTTGGCAGTGTAAATAAAATTCTAAAATCGATTGGACATCTGTTTTACACCTGAACAAAACTAATGTTATGGATCCACTCATGTTATAACTCTTAACTATTTCATTTTAGTAATCTTCCAAATGTTTCTGTAATGACAATCAGTTTATATCGAGAAGGTGGGTCAACCAGTAGAGATTCAAGACGGATTGGGGCGTCGAGATTAAGCTTGAAAAAGAACAGAAAAACTCAAAATCAATTAATTGGTAAGACGTTTATTTTATTTTTCTATTTATTACGTAAAAAATACTTATAAGCTATCATAGTTAATCGTAGCTTTCCAACTTATTGAAAAAATTACACTCTATATATCACCAAGTAACTGAATCCAAGAATGTGAACCTCTGGATTAGGACTAGATATAGCTTAATAGTTTACGATGTCTCTACCATCAGACGTGAAGCTCTCAAGTTTGGTTCCATCATAAAAATTACATATTTTCAGAAATTTGTTATGGATCTGTAATAAACATATTGAAGTTGTAAAACTCGTTAAAAGAACACTGACTGACAGATGATACACAGTTATAGGATATAACCAACGTTTAATTGTTCATGTGTTTGAATTGTTCAAAGATCATCCTAAGTGAAACATTACAAATGACAATCAAAGCAATCTGGATAGGATGTACATTTGCCGATCAAGACTGATCAAATCTTAGTCAAAAATATCGACAACAACAGAATACAATTAATTTAAAATTGAATTACACATTTATTTACAAATTATTGACACAGAAATAATATGTGTTATTTAACGTTGAGCTCAATGTAATATATTGTTTTTGTAGGCCAAATACCTGCTAATTGAATTATAACCTGATTATCACATTTAATCCTTACCTACTCTTCTGAAATTTCCCTGGAATTAACTCATCAAATATCATGAATAATTTGTAGTAATGATAAACACTAAAATATTGAGGTAGTGTTCAATATAATATCACAGTAATAATTAGACCAAGTAGCTATATTTTCAAAATGATAAATCACTATCCATTAAATCGCTGAGTTATGTTAGTCACTAATATTTATCAAATTTGTTGTCTGTATAGATGAATAAGTTTGTCCTTTCTTATTGATTATTATTTTTATTGATAGGTTACATCACAATACCCGTTACCGAAATATCTAGTCGTACTGACATTCAGACATGGTTAACTTTACAACCTCCCATCGAAAATTCTTCAAGTCAAGACAATTTACTCAGAAGTTTCGATATAACTTACACAGATTCTCAACAATTTGATAAATTAAATTCCGCAAAACTAAATAAGCTCAATTCTTCATCATTAAACCTATTACATAATCATTCTTATAATAATGGAATAACAGATCAGACAAATTTTCCACAATTACGTATTCGTGCACGCTATCAATCACTTGGTGTATTACCATTGTGCAATTATTGGCCTTTAAGAACGGTTAGTCTTTATTTGTTCTGATTTTTTCAATGTTTTGAAATACGAATTTTTCTGACAAAAACAGAAATTCGTGTTGAAATGAATGTTTATAACTAATGTAAAATATACACATTTAATTTGATCTGTTCATATCAATTACGATAAATATGCCTTTTGACAACTGATTATTCATCATACCCAGATCTGTAGTTCTATCATTTCCTTTGTGTAAAATACTTGTTTTTGTAATACATAGCACATTTCTGTGATCACTTTATTATACCTTGACTATGATGATGATATTACTCAATTTCAGTAGATTTATTATCGACCGTAACATGAATGATAGAAATCTTGATTATTACAGGCTGACTTTGAATTTTTCTCTGTTCGTTTATAATAAAAAAAGCTTACTGTTTAACAGTGGATTATGACACTTCAACAGCACAAATGTATGTTATCAGTATCATTGATGGACAATAGAAATTTATTTAGTCATAATGTAGGGAAGTATATATTGTAAGCACATATTTGTAATTTCAATTAGTTACCTTTTTAAATATAGAGTAAGAAAACGTAGATTCATTATATTGTGAAGCCAAAAATAGAAGTGAATATCTAAAAGACTTTCGAAAAACAATCGCTTAATATGTTTTGTCAGTTTCTTATTTTAATTACTAAACTATACTGGCTATAGACAAAAACCTGACAGCCTTGAATCTGTTCAAACTAATTATCTCAACCAATAAAACGTTTCTGAATATATAAAATAGATTTTTTTGTTCAAATTACTTTAAGAAAAATTGTCTGGTAGTCGAGATTATACTGTATGGTATATACTTACAGTAAGTAAAAAAGTATTGTTTATCTTATTCTATGAATGTTGTGTGATTTATATTTTATTTTTCAAATCCTTCATTCATTTCAGCTTGTACTAAATAATAGTTTATTGTTAACGAATTGGTTAGAATCGTTATTAATATCTGTTAAACTCAAAGAAGAATTAGCGAATTCACTGGTTTATTTACATGAAAATAATAACACGCTGATTGAGTTTTTGACCAGTTTAGTTGTTCGAGAAGTTTCTGACTTAGGTAAGTGGTATATATATATCTGACTTATATATCTCCCCTTACGAAATGTATTCATATTGTCATGGTAAATTATAACATTAAACGCTTGTAAGAGAGACTTTCATGATAACTTCTACATTTAGACTTCATTGATTAAGCTTAGACCCTGAACAAATATCAGTATGATATGACAACCTGAGTTTTATTTAAAGATTAGTATAGATACATAAATTTATCACATTTACATAATTAAAAACAATCTTATAGTTCTTATCATTTCTTGAACTCATAATTACATACCAAATTGTTTTGGGCATTTATTAGCTTTGGTAATAGCTTTTAGGAGTAATTATTGAAATTAACCAACAAACTATGCTGGAACAGTTTATGCATAATAATTGACGACAACAGCTTTTATTAAATTATTCATGTCACATTATTTAATGACCTCCAATTAAAAAGTCTTTTTAAAGCTCACTTTGTATCTTGCAAGTATCTATTGATTAGTAAGCTCTTGTTAAAATTTTATTTACTGTATTTCTAAAAACAAGATTCTATGTATATTTTCTCGGATATCCTAAAAGTTCCGCTTTCAACGTCATAGATTCAATAATAAACTGTTTTTATTTTGCAAATGTATTACTACTTACAATCTATGTGCCCAACATATAGTGAATGGAAAATATAAAATGCAGTCAAACAACTACTCTTCAACCTATTTATTATCAATGCGTATATATCTAACAGTGAATTACATCGGTTACGTATTATTAAGAGTTACAGTACGAATTTATATTTTGTAAATGGCATCAATAAAAGGTCACATATGAAGCCTTCGAGATGTGGTTATTTAATAAGAGAGTATACAAAACTACCCGACCCGTGTTGCTACCCTGACGTAGTGGTTGGGCTTGCCTGTCGTGATAAACCAATCGAGCTATACTGGCTGGAACAATCGTTCCTCAACGTCCTATCATACCAGAGAGGTCGGTTGAAGAACGGCAAGACTAAAAGCAGCAAACCCAAGGTCCGAAGGTGAAGTTGTACTGCTGACCAGCATAACAGCAATGCTGCCTTCCCACAAGGAGGTGTGCGGTTAGAAAAGGCCGACCCTAAAAGTGCATACCTCGCCATATCCCACAAATCTCCGGCGGTAAGGTCCTAATAAGTACTGAGCTAACACGAAAACTACTCACAAAAAGGCTGTGTGTAACCTGTTTCAGGCAGTTGTTCCTTGGGCACTGCAGTCAAGCTCTCAGGTCATTAAGACCACCTTTAACCCAGGTTCCTTTTCAGGTACCTCCAGAAGAACCCTTCCACGGTGTGGGCGACCGGGAAGTAATAATCGCCCTCCTACCTCTAACAGCATTCAAGACTAATGAGGTATAGCAATTTGGACCAATGTATATATGTACCTGGTCCAACGTTGTAGCTTACTGACTGACTGAAACAAAACTAACAAACTGGAATTTTAACAAACATACTTCAGTGGATTAGTATTAAGTAACCACTAAATTCATACCTTACTTCACAATAACTGGTAAGCTGACAGAATCCCATACAGGGAAACAGATGTACAAACTTGTCATCAATAATTGTTATTAAGTAAACACTTAATGCAAAATATACAGGTTATGAATAACAGTGTGTAAAGAATAAAATATAATTACCAACAAGAAGATTACTGTACTCGGGAATGTAAGTAGTAACAGATTTATGAACTATAAGAGTAACCCATCTATGTGAGTTGGAAAAGAAAATTTATTTGCGAAACTAAATATATTGATTTCTAGAAAAAGGGGTCTGATACATAGGACTATTGGGATGCTATACAATCTTTTAAATTGAAATCCACTAAAAACAGTTTTCATTACAATATGAGAAATAAACAATATATAGAGATTCATCCGAAAATTGCTAAATTAAATTAAATTTATCCATTTACTGAGTTTAATCATCAGAGTAGAAGTTTAGACATAAAACTCAAATCTCCGATATTAGATATTTAAAGACTATTTTCACGAAAACCTGCACCAAGGTTTCATTATTGTCGAAACTTGTCAACAGGTTGGATTTACAATCTCTGGGCAAATATTGATCACTATGTGATTCTAATCCATATCACTTGATGTCAGATCAATTAGATAAGTGGTTATTAATAGATATCGGTCGGCAGAATTCCATAAGTATTAAGAACTAAATAAACACAACATTAGCTATCGGTAGTAATCAATCAGCGTTATTCTGACTTCTGTTTTGAAAAAATAACTTCATTCACAAGTGAAATGTTTTTATGTTGGTCGTTTATAAGGATATTTCTTACTTTCATTTTATAAGTGTATATTAATAAAAAATTATTTTCGATATTCAAATGATGGACATAATATTTTATGATGTAATACCGCATTGTATGTTGTTAAATCTTCTTATCTTCACGATTATCTTTATATATAATGCAAGTAAAAACAAATTGAATTACCTCCTTTTAAATTGGTGATTCAATCATGAATATTGATTAATTGTTGTTAAGAGATTGACAAACGACTTTTTCAGAATGGCAATGTAAACTGTCACGTTAACTTTCCTTTTTATAATCAACTAAAGTGTTAAGTGTTTATGTGAAGTAGATTATATCATTCTATTCTTCAGTCATGTGTCAATCTTATATATTTTGTCTTAGGATGATAATAATAATAATCACTTTATTTAGTACTATATGCTTGAATACAATAACATAATCTTGCCACTGTGGTGCATGCTACTTATGCTTAGAGATATAAGTAGTGTGTAGCAGTAGTCGGCAGTAGAATGTCTGTCGGCAGAAGATTGAATTGAAGAGAACTCGAAAGGAAATGGAGAGCGATTTTACTGACGACGAAATTGAAAGAGTTATGAGGCACGTATAGGAAAACTGAGGGAAGATATGCGAGTGATGTATTTAATGTTTGGTTTTCGTATTTTATGAAGTCGCTCTGTCATTTTGCATAAACCAACAAAAAATTAGTTATTCTCACAGATTTTTCGTTCGTAGCACCACAGGTTAAAAACTACTACAAAATATTTCATAATAGTATATACATTTTAATGGAAAATATTTTAATTAAATTCTAGAGACATTTCGAAACAGTAGCTGACGGTTAGGCACAACGATTATTCATTAGTTCTATTTATACAACTTCTACGTTATATAGTGCATAAGCTAGACATAAGGTATTTGTTAGAATTTTTGTATTTCTCTTTTTGTGGACAAATGTTCTATGTATTTGACATTCATTTTACTGGGTGAAGGGAAAGTTGTAAGGAAATTAAGATAATTGCTTAGGATTAGAACGCATTAGTAAATTAAAGGATTTTTAAAGAGGATACGTTATCACTAATTATTTGCTTGAATATAATATGGCCATTAATGTTAATTTACAACTGTTACTGCCGTATTAATTGCAGTCATTTATGGTGATCAATGGCATACTGAATTTACTAACAAATACAATTTTGTGATCCGATTCAATAAATCAACTTTTTGTAGATTAAATATATTGGTTAATGTATATACGACTCCTGTCTTATTAGTTTATACACTTACCTATGAAGGCTTTTTTAATGAAAATCTGGAAAAGCTTTCAGGGAATTTATGAAATGTGAACAATTCATTTGAAAATAATTCTTTTCAAACTTATTAAGTGTCGTGATGGGGACCATAAAAATCTCAAGAATAAAGCGAAGCAGATAAAACCGTTGACTTTGACTTTTCATATTTTATCATTTCTTATAATTCTCAACTAGCAATTCACTGTGTCTGCAAATTCTGATCGGCAATATTATCTAGGAATATCATTTATGTATTTAATTCTGGGAAACTATGAAACAGCAAAGCAGTTATACAACATGATTTCTAAAGACTTCCAATGATGTTTTTTCACAGTGACAACGAAATCACATAAAAACTTTTTAATCGAATTCGAAGAGTATCACGAAAAGTTCCAGATTGATATATTGTGAAATAATCATTTTATAACTTAACTTCATGTTCTTATTGGATAGAATAGCTCACTACAAATAATTTTAGATTATTTAATTTATTTATTTGAACACATAAATACTGGTACAAGGGGGCACCGGATACATATGTGCCACACAAATCTCATTTGGTTTGTGTGAGGGCTGTGGTACTGCTCGGGTGTCCGAACCGAAGCAGGTGGTTTCCTTAGGGGGACCACACCCGGAACCTTCGACCTACAAGTTTGATCCACAAGGCAGTGGAGCAACGTAAGGAGATGCAGTTCCATGGTTGTAGGTGACCAACGATTGGTTCATATGCCATTTGTTCCTTTAGGATACTGGAGTCCATGTGGACTATTCGCTTGGAATCTGGGTTTTCCAACTCCCCTAGGTGGACTCCCCATGTCCACTAACCCGGTTAAAGCGCCAGACGTTCGCTTTTCGTCCTCTCAAATTCGTAAATAACACCCCCGCCACGAGAAGGCAATGAATAGGACTTCCCTGGCAGAGGCTATATATGCGTGGCCATATGAGAGCATTTCGAGAGGGAGAGCGGACTCTCCCCACTCTCGTCCGTACCAGGGCATTTAGGAGCAATTCTAGATTTTATATATATATATATATATATATATATATATATATATATATATATATATATATATATATATATGTTTGATGTGTATGCCATACTTCACGAATTACTAATGTAAACTTTAAGACTTAACCAATGTATATATTTGTGCATATTATCTGATTATCACTATAAATGTTTGTATGGCGAGACTAATTTGTAGACGAACCAATCAGTTTTACGATAACAGGTCTTCAATTTTGGCGCGAAATTCATTCACCCATTTGGCTAAATAGAGTCTTGGCATTATAACTGATGTCAGTTCATGATGAAAACTCTAAATATAATTCCTAACCTTAACCATCAACTGTAAATCATAATCCTTATTCTTTAAACTGCTTTATAACCCTCATTTAGCCCTAGCAAGTAGGTGAACATTCTCAAGGTTAGTCTACAGTCGCTTAAAGGTCATCCATAAATTATAGTCTCATCGTTTGTATTTTATACACTTTCATATTTCTATTGTATTTCTTTTGACAAATCGATTTCTTTTTACCAGAAATCGTTTTTCTTCTAAATACATGTTATTACATGAAAATATTCTATTTTGATAAATATAGAAGTAAACAGAGATATAAAGTAAAAGAAGTTAGTCTTTCATTATTAAGATTATAATTCTTCAAATAAATATTCTCATAAATGTATATTTTGTATGTGTAAAATTATTATTTACATTGTAGCTCTTTCTTTTTTTCCAAAAAAAAAATCTGATTGATTTTAATCGAAGTAATTCACTATAATCTTGATTCTATGAATGAACATGTACTTATAAACATTGGTTACTGAAAATACAAAAAAGAAAACAACATAAGAATCAGTATTTATGTTTTCATGGTTTCCTTATTATTTATGAAATGAAATAATTAAGTTGAGATTTTAATGATTGAATATTAGAATAAATGATGAGTTCTATTATCATCTCTACATCAGGATACTATATTGGATACTTATGAAGAACATTGGGAAACAGAGATTACCAATTATGATTTGTCGGTTCATAAAGTTATTCTTTGTTAAATCGTATTATTCACTACTATCTACTTCTTATGTTACGTTTACTTTATTCTAGTTCAAATGATTATTCTCTACCAATTATACTCCTTTGTTTTTCTAAAGTACTATGGTAGCGTTATTGATGTACTTATATAACATTTGTTAAATAACTGGTTGGTTGTGAGTAATTTCATATTAATTCTTTTGACTTTTTCGTATTAAGAAGAGTTTAAAACTATGGGTTACGATCTAAATAAACATAATAAAGATAAAATTCCATTTAATAGTGCCTAATAAGGGGGAATTCGAATGTCACATTTTCTTGAATTTAAAATGATATTACTTTGTGTACCAACACTCTCATGAGTGTTGTTTTTCCTAATAAAAACTAATTTCAGGTTAAAATAATCTATTCCACTTAAATATCTCTTGTTCAATAGATATCAAATAGTTGGTTACTGATTTTGGTAAAAAAAATTTGGTGACTCGACTAACCGTTATAGGCTTTGTTTCTTATGACACCATATAATGATTATAATAATGTTTATTAGTCGTCTCTCTATCTTATGAAACTTCATTATTGAACCTTCAGTGGTCATTTTTTGCACTGATTTGCATTAAAATGCGATGTGATCTTTACTTTACCCTATATATTCGTTTGTTCAGATATAATTTCAAAACTCAGAATAAGAATTATCACATTCACTTCTTACATGTGTGCAAGTTCTCAAGGAATGATGACTTTTCAAAACCTTATAATTAATAACTTGTTACTAATGTTAACTTGCTCATTTTAAAATAATCTCTAGGATGGTTCAGTTCTGATTTATGTAACTATCTACATAGTCTAAAAAAACATAAATAACACCAGATCAATATTTAATTAATTCGTTTCATAATATAAATGAATTCGACACTAATTTTCAAATATTTTTATTTTCCAAACTACAGAACCTAAATCATTTTAGAAGTTGAAAACTCATAACCACATAATATATCATATTAGACAAATTATTAATAAAGAACACAAATAAATCTTATTATAGTTGAATGCATGCATCAATTGATGCTAGACAACCATAGAAAACCTGGAAGCACTTGACGGTTATTTCGTCCCGGTATGAGACTAAAATCTCCACAAAACCACTTCTGATGAATCTTATTAGTTTATAAAGGAAAATCTATCAAGCTGATTGGTCATTCTTAAACACAAATTAAATAAACGTTTTGATATATATAAAAATAATAGATTTGTAATATCTAAATGAGTAAAAAAGAACAAGTTTCTAAATTTTCTGGTGTTTCACAACTCTGTCTAAGCCACTTCTTCAGAGAATAAATAACCACATAAAATTAACCCAAGTTTAACTAGTACAAAGAAACAAAGCAAGATTATTGGGTGCGATCAATCAAAAACAGGTCTGGCTAAGTCACTGTCATTCCGGTCAAGGTGATTTATATGAGGCATGTTTGTATATTTGTGTGCAGGTATTGTAAAGGATGAAAAATGTGGCATTTGTGGTGCGAAAGTTTAGAGCTGAATTTTTATGTACGGTAATGGTGTTAAATGTGAATAGAATCCGAAATGCTAACTCGGATAGATGGTCCAAATCAAATGGATATTGAGGCTATCTTTTCTATTGAGGTCAGTAGGATTGGGCAATATATGAAAAGCTTTAGCTACTCGCTTTTCTTTTTAGTTGGAAAAGCCTTTTTGTGTTATTTTGATGATGATGAAGAAGAAGCGGCTTATACTAAGTCACGAAACGTCAGAAAACTGAAAAACCTAATTTTTCTACTCATTGGGAAACTACAAACATATTAATTTATTTATAACAATCTACCAAGTCAAACCTTGGCAATGACTCCTATAAACATTTTAATATTTATTATGCCTACACAATCAAGAAGTGATAATCTTTTTTTAGAGTACATTTTAGAAAGAGTGAAATACTACGGATATAAATGTTTATTATCTCGAAATGTCATTACAGGCGCTGTAACAATGTTGCTATTTACTATACAATGTCCACATTCACATTAAGCAAATATCTTTTGTAGTATAGAAATTATTTTTATCATAATCTATTGTTTGTTATAGAAAATGAATCAATGGCATTTCGATCAAATACAATGGCAACGAAAGCTGTAGAATGTTATGTAAAATTTGTCGGTTCATCTGTAAGTTCAGTGTTGTATTGCAATAGTCTGCTCTTCTCTGTACCATGTTATATATATATATATATCGATACTTTGGGGGAAATTAGCGTTTTATAGGCATTAGTTAGATGTTAATTCTAAGTGTATAATTAATTAATGGGGGTGATTTTATTGCCTAAGTGTTTTTGAATTAGCTTGGGGTGCTTTCTCTCATTGCCAATCCATACCAATTCATAAAGTGACTTTCAATTTAACATATCAGCTATTTACACAAACATTTGTAGAGTGCTTTGTTAACTACTAGGTGTGTAGTTGTAAGATGTGTTCCATTAAAAGCATATGATTAAGCTCAAGGGCTACATCTTGAATAATAGGAACTGAAGGAGGAGGTTGATTACGAATACAGTGATCTTGAGTGCTGTTAGAGGTATGAGGGCGGTTATCACTTCCCGGTTGCCCACACAGTGGGAGGGTTCTTCTGGAGGTACCTGTAAAGGAAGTTGGGTTACTGCTGTAACACCTCTGTACAGTCAGCAGTACGACTTCGCCTTCGAACATTCGGTTTGTTGCTTTCAGTCTTACCATTCTTCAACTGACCCATCTGGCATGGTAGGACCTTGTGTAACGGTTGTTCCAGACAGTATAGCTCGGGTGCTTCATCACGATAGGCAAGCCTGACCACCACATCAAGGCAACAACAGTGGCTGCGAAACGTGGCCATTCAGAGTAGAAGATATTCGTAAGCTACTAGTATTTGACCACAGATGCCTTAGAAATATTGCCTGCATCTACTGGGATCATCAGGTAAGTAATACTGAGGTTAGACGTAGGGTATTAGGGAATGATGGTAAATCAGTTGATGAGATTGTGAATCTTCATCGACTGAGATGGTTGAGTCACGTGTTGCCTATGCCTGAACATCGATTACCACGACGCGCAATCCTGATTAGTGTTGGGGATGGTTGGAAGAAAGTTAGGGGCGGCCAAGCCAAAACGTGCCATCAGTGCTTGAAGTCACTAACTTCTGGTCTGAGCCATGTTGTTAGATGCAGACTACTTGGTTGGGGTCCACGTGATTATCGTAACTAATGGTTGGAGATTCTTGGTGACATGGCTCAGAATCGATCACAATGGCATCGGTGTATACACTCTCTGTCTTCCCTTAAACTATGAGATTAAAATTATTTCATATCATTCTTTCCACAAACTAATTCTTTCTTTCTGTACTATATCTTTACATAAAATCTTTCCTTTATATATTACACCATTGAGTTAAATGCTTCTATGAATCCGGTGTTTATCTTGCTGTTCTAATGATGTGTGGCAACTTTGACCGATGAATGTATGTGCTTGGTCCTACGTTGTAACTAAATGACTGAGGTAAAGGCTACAAGGCTACATGCCCCTTTACAAATTGCCAGTGGGTTAATAAATCCGGAATCGTTCAAGTTGTCCTTGCCTCTTTTATTAAGTGGTAATTTTAAATAAACGTTTGTACCGAAATGTGTTGTACATATTGGGAAATCATTACAAATTGTTCTGTTAAAGACACGGACACCTTAATAAAATGCGCATGGTGTCAACATAATAAATAACTGGATCCGTTTCTTTATGTTGAATTAGTTGAGTTATCTTAATATTTTGTTCTTACGATTTGGTTGCATATTTGCTTAATAACATCTGGTACTGATGTTTTCTGTGAAGACTATCGATTTATTATTTTTAGATATACGGTATGTTTTAATGAATTAGAAATAATATCTCAGCTGAAAGGGAATGTGTGGTGAAAAGTCATATCAATACTTAAGGATGTAGGTATTAATAAAGCTAACATATAACGAAATTGATAGAGGAGCTTTCTTCAATCCTTGTTTTTAGTGTCCATGACCATTTGATGCTTGGCTCAAAAGTCAGTTTTTGAAGTGATTCGCTTTCCTACAAATCTATTTACTCAACCTGTAGTGTTTTATCATATGAATCTGTAGTTTGATTCTTGACTTCCCTCATTAGTATAAATGAACGTTGTACTTAATAGGAAAATCTAGATCCATGTTTTAAGGTTCTTCGCTAATCCTTATTACTTATTTTATGTAGCTGTAAGTGAGCTTACAAATTTTCCTCCAAGGTTTTATCTCATTTTTTTGTGACATTAATTCCATATTTTCAATGCTGGATGATATATTCGATAGTTCCTGGAATTAGAAGGGGAACTGAATATAATAAAATATAAATTATTCTCAATCAGAAAATAATTATAGTAATAAAAGTGAATATTATTTTTAATCACCAAACTAATAAATATCTAGACTGTCAGTTAAAAATAATTCATTCTATATACATTATGGAATGTGGCTAGCAGTGGGACAAAAGATGTACTTGCCATCCTGTTTGGTACTCTTAAACTGCATTTACCTGTACCTCAGAGTTTATGTTCACTCCGAGACTTGAACTCAATACCATGTGGTTCAAATATTATCGCGCTATCCACGTTAGCCACTCACTTTTGCAACGAGTATGCGTTTTGATTGTATTCGAAATGTAAGCCATGATGGATAATGGCTAGCAGTGGAATCCAGGACGCGCGTTTCGTCCTAGGTGGGACTCATCAGCTGGATGTACCTACATGAGTTGATGTTCACTCTGGGACTTGAACCCAGTACCATTCGCTTCAAACGCCATCGCGTTATCCACTCAGCTAGCGAGTCCCCATAACCACTTGCTTGTGCGATGGGGTGAATTTAAATTCACTTGGTATTGTTTGGATTGTATCTTCCCATTGCGGGTTAAGACTGCAATTGATCAGTTTGCTATTGGCATCCATCATTGCTTACAAGAAGTTTGTGAATTAAGGCAATATCGAGGCATACGTACAATATGCACATATGGCAATAACAGACTAATCAATTGCAGTCTTAAACCTCAACGGGAAGATACAATCCAAACAATACCAAGTGAATTTGTATTCGAAATGGTTTGAATTATCCCGTTGTTGTTATTTTTGACTGGAATTTGACCAATCTTGATTGGCATATGTACATCCTGTGAGAATTGTCTTAATATAGCCAATGAGATAAGTTGATTCTATTTTGTATCGAGGTGATGCGTACAAGATGTACATATGCCAACCAAGATTCATCAAATATAAGTCAGATATCAACAATTGGATAATCCGAACCAATTCAAATTCAATTATGTTTTATTCAGTTAGTATAATGGAACATTTTCTATTTAGTTATTGACCAATTACCTAGTAGCAAGTATTCTTTGGGTAAAAGGTCGAAGTAATCTTTAAAGGTCAAAATTGCGAACAAAGGTCATCTGAACAATAAAATTTCATTCCATTCGGTACAAGTATTCAGACGAGATTGGTTGTGATACGCATGAAATCTAGGTGTAATTGTCTATTAAAATATATTCTACTAAGAAAGAGACAGGGCAGAAGAGGAAGAGGCTGAAATAGGAATATCAATATTTAGGTAACAAATCCCAATGAATAGTTAGAAAATTATCCATAGAAATAGTAGGACTATATAAAAAAGATATTAGGAAAGATAACTATGTTTCCTACTGTACTCAGTCTTTTTTCGCTTCCAAACTGAAGATGACATCCAATCAACCGCCGGATACAATAGCAGTATTTAGTTTATACCAAAACCTTTATTTGACTTTTTGCGTGAGGAATTACATTCCCACAAGCATTAGCATAAGAAACCCTTTGTTGAGACATTCAAAGCTTGAAAAGCTATCAGTTGTCCTAGGATAATTCAGAGATTGTTGTTTGTTCAGTAAACAACCCTGAACCTACTAGAACTTGAAACAGCTCACAGATATCGGGATATAGGAAATGTAGCAGATCCACACCATTTAAAAAGGATTACAGTTTGTGTAGGAACGTACAAATCAGGAAAGAATATAAAAATAAATAAAACAATTATCAGTAGTAAACAACAGTCATTTACAATTACGATATTAAAGCCAGATGCACTAAAAAAACAACCGAGCAGTCTATGTTGGCAGATTATTCTCCAGATCTGGGGGTTGTGCGACTATCAAATCACTTTACCGAATAAAGCAGACACAGTAAATAACCAATTACACTTGAGTAACTACGGATAAAACAGGGATGGAATCATCCTCAAAGAGCTAGTTTAATTTTTTTCAAATGAATTCTGAAAATCTGTTAATTGAACTTTCATTCAAGAGATTTAAAATATTGATACTATTCTGGAAATGATGCCTAGTTATTGTTGTGATTTGCATAATATGATATGTCTTTTTCATGCCTTTTTATCACATACAAGTTGTTGATAAATACAAGTTATTTCCAAGCTTCTTTGTATTAAATAATAGGAATCAATATAAGCTTCTGATCAGTCATATCGTATTTGTCTCACAACATCACTTACTAAGACTTTTATATGACAATGTCTGTAATCATTTTGTTTTTTTATTGAAATACGATAGTATCTCTTGGGAAAACTTGTCTATATTCTCAAACTGCATTCAAACTTCAATTGTTCTCTGAAAATATACTTTGTGTAGTTTTATTGTCTGCTTATAGTATTAAGTGTACACATAATATATTCATTAATCCAACTGTTTCATTTTATTTCAAGTCACGACATAGAAGAGTGAAGACTGGTTAATGATATTTTTAAAATACTGTTGTTCTGTTCCACCGAAAATCCATCATTATTATGATATCGATATTTAGTATGTATATCATTTGTTTTTCTTTTCGATTAGTTGTTTTTCTATGCTGTTCACCTTCTTTTTTGAAATATAATTCAGACATCCGTAGTAGATATTAACCTTTAAAACAAAAATTAGTGCTCGCTTGGCTACTCATCCATATTCTGCAGGTAATTTGTAACAAGTCTATAACAACTATTTAGACTGATGGTTGATTTTTGTTAAGTATTGATACATACTCTTAAAATCAAGACTGTCATTTTCAACTATACATTTAAACTGTTCTCATAATTTTTCCATAATAAAGTAGAAATCTTTTTCACGTAAATGTATAAGTAGTTACTTCTTGTATAGGTGGTGAGACTATAATTTATTGACGACTTTGGAGTGACGCTATAGTGACTTTAAGAGTGTCCACCTAACAACTAGGACCAAATAAGGGTCATAAACTAGTGTGAAGAATTGGAATTGTGACCTACGATTTATGGTTAAAGTTGGGAATTAGATTCGGGCTGTTCGTCACGAACTGACATCAGCTATAACACCAATACGTTATTTAGCCAAATGGATGAATGAGTTTCGCGTCCAAATCCATAACCTGTTATCTTATACCTGATTGTTTCGTCCATAAATTATAGTCTCGCCGAATAAGTTTTTGATATTTCCATCTTTCAATACAAATACTTCATTAAAGAGCAGTTACACAGAGCTGATGATTTATATATTAAATAAACAGCATACCATAAATTACACCCAATACTAAATGTAATCAAGAAGTATATGCGTTAAATTTTGTGATATTTTCACGAAGGACAGACAGTGAATGGATTTCTTTAATTCTTCGCTTGGCGAGAGTGATGCAGTGCATTTTGAATATTTTGAGTTCTATGTGTATATAATTTTTTATGTGTGCTGTTAGATTGTTATTGTTGAAATTTAATATTTGATTAAGTTTGTATCATTTATAGTCATCAGCTGATCCAATCTTTCATTTTTTCATACTGGCAAAGTTTGTTCTCTTCTTGTCAATCTTTAATCTATTTCTAATCCCAGGTGTCTTATGAAAGGTTGTTGCTGATTCTACACCGTATTATTTCTCCTTTTTCTATTTCTAACTGTCATTTTGGTTTATTTCCTTTATGTATTTTTCCTTCTTTTCACAAAAAATACCTTGGTACTTTAAGTTGTGATCAGATTGCTGATAATTTATAGAAGCGAATTTGTTGAATTGTTTTTTTAGAGCGAATTCATCTTTATATGACATTGCACTGATACTATTTTGTCTTACTGTTTGCATTTCTGAATGAAAAGCACTTTGTGGTTATTATTTCATTGAATTGATGTGATTGGGAATTCCACAACTGTATTAAATTCATACTTTATTTTGGCAACAATTGTTCCCTATTTTAATGATAAACCCACATCCTAGTTGAAAGAAATAAGGATTTTGTCAGAATGGGTTTTGTGGAGAGTTTTAGAAATTTCACAGGTTGAAATCATGAGTCAGTGAAGCTAGACCACCTTTGAAAACCTGGAAGCACTGGACGGCCGTTTCTCCCTGGTGTGGGACTCCTCAGCAGTGCGCATCCACGATCCCGCGCCGCGCGGGGCTCGAATCCAGGACCTACTGGCTTCGCGCGCGAGCACCTAACCACTAGACCACTGAGCCGGCATCCAACGGTGTTAATGTTCAACTTGGATCCAAGTGAAATAAGGATTTAATTACAGAGCACTTAACGTTATTCTGAACAAGCTCTTCAAGACTAGCTTCATATAAATGTAGGTAAGTGATGAAGATTTTGTCCATAATGAAAGCGATAGGTGCAAAAATAAACTATCTTTCTCAGATGACCCTTAAAAAACTAAATTCTCTCTTTCAATTTGTTTTCATTGAATCTTTTTCAGTATCTTCATCATTTATTTCACTTGTTAATACAAAGTGTACTAACTTGTTTTACACCTTGGGAAGTTGATCCAGAAAAACTGTCTTCAACTCAATGTACTGGTGGTTCACTGAATGCAACTGATACTGCTGCATATGCTTTATCACCCGGAAATATGTTAAAAAACCATCGATCAATAATAACTGGCACTTTAATTGGCAATCAGATAATGCTGTTAAGATATTTTGATGTTGTTTGGCGAGCTATTCAATCCAGTTTGAATTATTTCCCAAGGTAATAATCATTTGTACTGAGTAATTTTTTTTGGTTTTGCTGTCTATATTCAATTTAGTACCTAGACTCGTTGTCTGTTCATCAGATTTAAATAGATATTAGTGTGACTGAACTCATGGTCAAATTCTGAAATATTGACGTACTTAAAGATCATTTGAACTGCACAGATTTACTTTAATCTCATTGGGGAAGGAATTTCATATGTGTTTAACTGTGTAACAGATACCACGAGGATGTGTTATGCTAGTAAAGGTACTTCATTAAACTTATTTAATTACGTAAATATTAACAAACAATTGTCATTTACAGTGATGACGACTATTGGTACTCGCGTTCTATTTGACTGTTACCATTCCTACTCAGTTTTGTCAGATATACTGAAGAATGTGACAATTTGATTAAATCCCCTCAAAATGTGACCAGAATTAAAGCAGAAATTTTGTGAGTGAATTCACTAGTCAATTGAAGCTAGACTATTATGGAAAAACTGGAAGCACTGCAATTAATTGGCATTCCCAACAATATCATTTTCAGTCTTTAGAAATGTCTTTAGAATGTGTCCTGCACTTTCAGAAAACCACTGAAGTGAAAATTTATAAACAAAGTGTTTTCTTTAGTCAGACATAAAACCTTTCTATTAGTCTCTTCTTTTAAATCAGAGCCAGTTGTTAGTGGTCTTAGTTCCTTTCTTTCGGATATCTTAAGATTGATGACTATTTGATCATGGCTATTAAAAGATGTAATCTATTCATTGAGTTTTTCTATGATTTACTTAATTACACTGGTAAGAAAATTAGCCATCATATAAAACACTGTAGTTTTGTAGTAGTTATCGGATGTATGTTTTAAAAAGCTGGTAACGTAAATAATTTATCAGATTAGTGCAAATACATCGTAGAGGTTAACCCTTACTATAACAATAGGACTTCGTTGCATCGTTGAAGAAGAATTCTTCGTGATTCAGCGAAGAGAATTTTTCTTTAGACGTTATCATTTACTGAAGCTATGTAATCATATTTATAGTTAATTTTTAAAAATCGTAGTTTACAGTTAACAAATGAGGGATAGTGTGCCATTTAAACATTTTACAAGTGCTGTATCATAAATTGCCCATAGAAAACCAAGTACCCCGAGGATATACAACCAAGTGTTCATATAACTATTTCTGTACAAGAATTGAGGTCTCTGATTTTTTCTAAATGTTAGTTCAGTTGATAAGATATGGGCAATTTTCCGTGATATGTGCATTTAATTGGAAGAAGACTATGTTATGGTTGTATTGAATTGTTTTCAGGCAAGTTTTGCCATAATAAATCCATAATTACTGTGTTACTCGTGTGTGAATGATTTGATTAAACTGTTAAATTTGTGAACTTTTGCACCAGTTACGGTTTCAATACAATAAAAGGTCATTTAGTAGAAATGTTAGGAAAATTTATTACGTGGTATCGAGTAACAATCAATTAACTACAATAAATTATGTGAATATAATGTATAGTAGGGGAAATACTGTCTGATTGAGATAACAATATTAATAATATTAGTTATAGTGATATTAGCAATATAATCTTGTGAATACAAAACATAGCGAAATGTAATTCTATAAAAAACTTGTATGATAATGTCTATATCGAGGCAAACTGGATAGAGTGCACATATACCAACTAATACTAATCAGAATTCAGTCAAAACTACCAATAACGAGATAATCCAAACCATAACAAATTAAATTGACATGTAATTAAGGTAATTAATTCATATGAACTGAAAAAAACGAATGTATCAATTAAGAATGAGACGAAAGATATCAATGCAACATGAAATTGGATAAACATTAAGGGTAACGATAATACGAACGTTCTACTGAATGAGCGAAACATATTCCAAATATTAGATGCATCTGAAGGCTTGACAATTAGATGGTCAACTGTAACCTTTAGATCATTAAAGCAACGACGATATATATTACTCAAGTCGCCCGAAACCATATTGTTTGATTGTATGACTTACCGAAGATTCACAAACCAGGGATACCATGACGACTTATTCTCAATATATTAAACTCACCTTACTATTCAATAGCAAAATGATTAGTTAAAATTACTAGCACCACTTCACCGTGACCTTGCTAAGTACAGTATAAAGAACGTATGTAATCGAGTTGCTGGATTTTTATTGTCATCTTAATTGGCTAACAGAATTCTTGAACTAATAAATATATACTGTTATATTCTGGATATATTTTCTTTCTTATCCAAATCATTTTGTTTAGTGTTAATGATTAATATTATTTAAAGAGAAGACAAAACAATAATAAGTCATTGGGTTGTTTAAAATGTTTATTGTATCAGTGAATGTATAAACACAATCACTGATGTTTATTTGTGTATCTAACTGTTTTACATTGTTATATGTGTTGTGGAGTCCTATGTTTGCGTGTGTATGTGTATCACCTGAATGTTATTGATTAAAACTTCTTGTGTATAATCTAATTATCGGCTGTACACACTTTCTAGCTTTGATTTATATATTCCTTTGTCTATCAGTCATGTTGTACATTGTTCTCTCCCATTTTTCTACACTCCATCTTTCTTTATACCTTAACTGACTTGTTACCATAACGATAGTAATAAACTTTGAAATAGAAGCGACTAGAAAAAGTCGCCATGCAATTAGAATTTCAATCAAATTTTTAGAGTAAATAAGAGGATGCTGATTTAGGATAACTTAATATATGTTAAATCAATATTTCAAATGATAACACATCACAGTGATGCATTCATCAGATAACTACCAATACATTAACGACCGGACGTCTTGATTAGTAGAACAGATATAATATACGCATTAAATCGGTTGAAACGATCATTTACAGATCAAGTGTAACATAGACAGACATACAAATCAGTATGGAACTTTAGGCAGTACATAACCGATACAGTTTGGCATAGTATATAACAGATACAGATAGGAAATCATCCAAAACGAAGGAAATGTATAAAGGTGAAAAGGGAGAATGAAATCAATAGATGCATGGAGACGGGTATACAATATTAGGAGGTTTGTGATTTAGAAGGTAAGAAATAAATTTTAGCGCGGTTCCAAAACTGAGTTGACTGTTGTCCAGTTTCGTTGAAATGTTGTTTTATTAAGCTTCAGATCGATTTTCATGAATAGGTGTTTGTTTGTTATTAGCTCACAAGGTTTAGTCAAAGTTGTATTACCTTCTTGTCTGTGCTTCGACGAATCACGGCCAAGAAACAAGCAAAGGTGAACTCTGTCTTCAAACGGAGTGCCTTAATCAATGATACTCGATAATTTGTTATGCTAGCTGCGAGACTCAGTCGCACAGATAGCATACTGGGGCAAGGAAGATATATGAATTAATTATATCAATTCATATTCTTAAAAACGGTTATTATTGTATGATCTCTTCACTCAAGTTACACAAACTAAGCTATTATCTCGTTTAGCGTTAAGTATACCTTGACGATCGCTCTATCAAACGTAATCATTTTTATATTACAAACAGAACAATAAAATAATTAATAAGGTATCTTTGTGTTCATTTAGTGATTTAGTCATTTTTCACTTGGATATGTAAAGAAAAGTATTTATGTTAACAATTTATTGAAATCTCTAGTGTTATAATAATATAAGAAATTGTGATTAATAGTTTTATTTTATCCATCGACTTCATGTCTTTCCGATAAAGTTATACTTGTACTTAGAAAATGTAATTAGTTAGAAAATAAAGTAGACTTCACTTAAGTATTTAAAACATCGACATACCTTGATGAAGGTATTCATTTATTTTATGTATTCTCTTGTCTCCCAAGAACATTTTATACATAAATAGTGAATAGCTGACATATTATTCATGACAAAGTTAATATTTAACATAAGTTGATTGCTATTTACAAGCTCACATACTACAACCGCTTTACGTATATATGCATCTTTAATGGTTAAAATTATAGAGAGATACTTAACTAATTATTCAAACTTATGTGAATTAAATCACTGATTGCTCTTAGCTAGACCGTCATTGAAAACCTGAAAACACTGGATGGCCGTGTCGTCTCAATATGAGACTCTTAAGCAGTAAGTATATACGATACTTCATACGCCAATCGAACCCAGAAATTTCAGTCTGGCATCGGGATTTCAATGGTGTAGCAGCTAATATCAGTTCGTGTTTTAAACTATGCAATTCTATGGCCTACACAGATATATGTATGAAGTAGATTGTGTAAAGGTTAAATTTGATAACAAACAATTGGGTGACATTAAAGTGTGAATCACTAATTCATTGAATAACGATGTATGATGTGTGATTGATTAGAAGCTTTATTCAACTTATTATGCAGTTATATACTTTCGAATCTTTTGCTTGTTTGTTTTGATTGCATAATCTTATTTTAAATTGCTGTTTGACTATTTTTACAGTGTACTCATTCGCTTGTTCAGTTCATTTCGTGAAGCATTAGAAACAATTCGTGGATCAGAATTTTGTGATAATTTAATATCTGGTTGTATATTTTTACGACTGATCTGTCCAGCTTTACTTTCACCTTCCTTGTTTGGTTTAATCAGTGCATTTCCTAGTGAACCAGCATGTCAACGTAACCTCACACTGCTAGCTAAATCATTGCAATCATTAGCTAATTTTAGTACATTCGATGATAAAGTAAGTTGTTTTTGTTATTATTATTTTATTTGATGAAATGTCTTGATTGAATACGTTTTATACTGAGAAAACATTTTTCGATATTATTAATTTGTTTATTGATATTGGAGATGGCTTTACAACGTCGTGGATTAACAACGTTGGATGCCGGCTCATCGGTCTAGATGTCAAGCGTTCACGTGCGAGTCCTTGGTTTGACCTCTGCTTGTGGAGTCATGAATGCACAATGCTGAGAATTTCCATACTGAGACGGAATGGACATCCAGTGCTTCCAGGTTTCTAATGGTGGTCCAAAATTGGTTCATGATTTCAATGAAATCCACTAATCTCAACGACAGTTTTTTTCAATAATTCAAATTAGATATCGGTGATTTTCAGTTAAATGATAAAAGCATATTCTACATTATTTTCTTTTACAATCATTTACCCTAACTACTAATCAAGGACATATCCATCTACTATTGATAGTGAGCATTCATTTTGTAAAGACGTTCCACCCCATTTTGTTTAATCAAAATAGATACTTTCCTTGAAAGATTATGGTAAATTTTCTTAACTAGTACATGAAATTTGTTACTGATAAACGTAAATGATTTCCCACATTTCGTTGTGATTCGTTACACTATACAGTCAATTTACCTGCTGTGATTGTATTAAAGAATATTTATCATTTGATTATATATATATTCTATTCTGAGTGTTATATATTTCCAATAATGTAGATGTGTATATACCAATAACTGAAAGCTTATTTATGCTTATATAAATGTGTGTGTACGTGTATAAAATCCGTGGTTCATCTTTATTCGTTAATTACTTATTTGACAGAACATTTGGTATATAATATGAATACTTAACGTGTCTATAATATAAAGCATTGTCATTCCAAAATAAATGATTTTCATACTTTGGATTTAAATAAATAATACAATAAAGTGAAAAACTAATTAAAAAGAAGTTATTATCACATATAAACGACAATTTCGTGCTGATTTGAAACTCCCTAGTATAGCGTACACGCATAACATTACAGAATATAATGGTTGAAGACTACTAAATAGGTCCCAAACTTATGGAGGAAGGAAACAGTATATTTTTGTTATATGTGAAAATTATATTTAAAATAATCTGAGCGAGTGAAAATTAAATAATTCCAACGTTTCGTCCAGATAACTTGTCTGGACTTCTTCAGGGTAATAATCAAAATTAAAATAATCTTTGATGATTTTCACGTATAGTGACTTCTCTATACTCGGCGCCCAATTTCTGTCAAACTATTCGTTCTAATCTTGACGAATATTCGTATAAAGTATATTTTCATGTTTATTTAGTTTTGAAATGACCTTAAACTGATGTTATTCTCTGAAATAGTTTGCAACTCTGCATACAAGATTTTCATCATACATACTTATTCTCCAATAGATGGAAACTTTTATGAAATCATACAAGCATGCTGTATATTTAGATTTTATTCCTTATAATCCATATTAAGCCAATATTTATTTAAATCATACTACTGTCATATTCAGATATTACTTTCTGTCACGTGAAACTTTGACTTAGTGGCTAAGCCGATCGACTAGATTATAATTTCTAGTCTCTCACATTCCATTTTTCTTTAGACATTCGAGTAGTATCGTAGTAAACGAGAATGTATTTGAATACAAAATTACAAAACATCTTAGTGAAATTTGAGAACCTTACAGTAGGTACTTCATTTGCAAAATGTCAATCAATCGTCTAAGACTTCATTGTTTTTTTTTGTTTCTACAGCAATTATTCTCTGTTCTCTTTCTCTTGTCTTTGATTTCCTTAACTTTTTGCCTCTAGGCATTTCACGTTCAATTAATGATGCATACTACTTATATCTATCGACATCAGAAGCACATACCACAGTATCAGTGGTTCTCAGACATTATTTATGGTGCGAGCATGTATCCTGTTAAATAAGTTACAAACAAAACTTGTTGAAATAATGTATTCATAACTGAGATTTTTCTTGATATATAAGTTTTACTGAAAAATAATTACTTGGTTAACATTAGAAAGGTATTTATTTATGTCAAAACAAATACAATACTAAGATTTCAGTTAAAGGAAATGGTCTGACACAATAATGATAACATTCAAAATAAGGAATGAATATTAAAATCTACCTTGATAATCTTATCGTTTTGGGTAATTCTAATATCTTATCGACAAATTTATTGTTGTTTTTCCCTGAAGTGTTTGAATTTCTGATTAATAATTTAGTAACTTCAAGTCAATATTTATTTTGAGAACTTCAGGTACATTTCATGAACTAATTAATTATTAACTGTTGCGTTGTATGAATAATAAACATTATAGAATGAAATAAACAGATAGAATAATTCATATGAAACTACCGAATTCATCTTTACAATAATTGAAGACCAGAACAGTTGTTTTGTTTTAGTATTGGGCCCCTTAGCAATGTTCACTCGCAACTTTGGATTGATTTATTGACTTGTTAAACCCTATTGATTGGTATGTCAGTTTAAGATTCTAAACTCTTTTTGTGAAAGTGCCTAGTGCTCATGCTGTTTCATAGATGATATCTGTCGAACTCTTGATGTGTTCGATGCTAGTCAGTTAAGTCTTTTCATTTGCATGTTGAAAGTAATTCTTACACTTGGTTACTAGTGAACAAATGATTACTGTCGGGAAATGGTGTTTGTAGATATTACTCAATAGTGAAGATAGTTCATATCTATCTTTAGCCGGTCCTGAGTGAGTACTCCTGGGGTTTGCTGCTCACTAGTTTTATATCTGTCTAGTTCAAGTCACTCATTGATACAAGTTGTCTCCGAAATTAAAATAATTCTTCCACTTCACATGTTTTTAAGTTGATTCTATCATGAATTTTTTTTGTGATATCCCAATTAGCAGAAAATAGTATTTGTGACGTCTTATGGCTTAATGTAATCCACTTGTTCAGAATAAATAAATCTTTTGATCATTACATTACGGTAAGTCACCCAATGTCAAAAATACATTTTTCTACTCATTGAGATATTACAAAAAATGTATTCATTATTAACTTTCTACCCAATGGTTAATTTGTTCAAAACTATCAAGTTCAACCTTGGGCATTGATACATACAATCTTCCTTAAACTTGAATGACTGCTAAAAGTACTCTTAATTATTTGTTCCAATGAAAATAATTGTTTTATACATCCTTCTTGAAGATCTCCATGTTATGCATAAAATTAGTATGTTTATAAAAAAACCTAAAAGTTACAACATTTGGGACTTCATTTCTCCACAGTATTTATTACTTTTACTCTACTATGGAAATTGTTTTCTATCTTTGTATAAGTTTTATTCCAACCAATAATTTATGCACAATGCTTATCTAAAACTTTATTAATCAAAATTAATTAAATAAAATGAATTACACTCTTGTGTATGTATTCAGAGAGGGTTAGATGCTGGAAATTTGTAGATTATCCTGGTTGAAATCATTCTTTATATCTGTCCACTTATAAAAAGAATTAATGCAAGTCATATTTTAAATTCGATTTCTGTTTCTCCTTCTTATAATTTTTATACTGTGTTTTTTAAAAGAAAGCTTTTCATGTTATCATCTGTCATAATTGTTTAGTGTAACAATTGAAAGTGATAATAAACAGAGGAGATTGTGGTTATCTGTCAAGTTTTCAATGTTCAATTAGTGTGTTATGTACAGCTTTTTCAGTCTTTTTTTCGACTGTTTAGTGGATAGATTCCTCACATTACAATATAATATTCATTCTAGATTTTGTTCCAAGAATATGAAGTTACTTACAACTGTTCACTATGGATATGTCAGTGTAGTTGACTAAAGCCTGTAGTATGATAAACACAAATACGTTGAAAGTTATCGCAAGAAATGAAATCTAAAAAAGAGTATGCTCTATTATGGAGCATTCACCCACTTATTCAGTGAAAAAAAAGATCGAAGCTGTTGTATGAAACACGTTACTTACACATTGAAAATACGTTGAACTTAGAAAAGAACGAGTCGTTTCAAGTATCTTGAATAAAGATAAGTAGAATGTATTTTTTTCTAATGTAAGCAAAGATAGATGGTGGCTAGTAGTGGAATCCAGGAAACGTGTCTCGTCCTACTTGGGACTCATCAGCTGGATGTACATGCATCCTGTTTTTTCTATTGTTTACTAATTACTTTTTCTCTTCATATTTTTTTATTCATTTTTATAGGAACCTTATATGAGATTTTTAAACGGTTATGTTTCTTATCAGTTGTCATTGATGCGAATGTTTATTCGATCAATATCACCATCTTCACTGAACTCACATAACAATGATATGATTCATAATGTTGTTACCGGTTCTGTAACAGTTGACAATGAAATGTTATTATCATCGCCAACAAACAGTTCACATCAGACAAAAAGATCAACCTTAGTAAAAACACAAAATAATGTCAAAGATACAATTGATGAGAATTGTGAATTGGCCAATCTTCATCTTATATTATCAGATGTGATGTTTTCTGATTCAACAATATCTGCTACAAGTAATGATGATACTTTACTAACGGGGACTGTTAATACCACTACTACTAGTGCTATTACAAATACTGTACTGTTTGGTAATAACAATAATCTGATAACAGTCAATCCTACTTGTGATACAAATTTTTCATCAAATTCTACAACAATGCTTGGAAAGAGTGCTACTACTTTCCTTGTAAGTTAAATTACTTTCACTCAACGGTGACTTTATTTTATTGAATATAGTTATATTTTATATAAGACAGTCAAAATATCCAGTCAAATGGCTCAAACATTATTGTCCGCATTGTTTCAAGAGTCTTAAGTTATTTTGCATCATGTAGAAGATATATTTATTTATTGATTGAAAATTCATTTTAAGTAACATGGAATCGTCTCGTTTGTCGTTTATTTAAATAATTCACTGTTATTACAGTGCACAATCGTTTTAATCATTCTGTCATTGTTGGTACTGGTCGTTGCATAACTGACAAATTTTAGTGACCAGAATGTATCATATATACATATAACTAAAAATTTAATGCGAATTTTGGATAATTGTAAGTAATTCATTTTAATTAGTGTATAGTATACTTTGTTTATTCCAAATGCTACGGCTTAAGGTATATTTTACTCTTTAGGTGACAATCACGGATGCTATGTAAAGACGGCGATCTATAAATTAAGCATATGCGTGGATAGTTACTGGATTCGATCTTGGTACTTCCTACATAATACAAATGTTTACAATGTTTAAAAATACTCCATGTTATTACGGATATAGAATAGTTTTTAAGAGTATTCTGTATCAGCCACTTTCCTCCCAATAAAAAGTGGTCAACTTAGATAATTTTATCATAAGATAATGGTCATTTGCTTCAATTAGTACTGTATATCTGGTTAAAGTAAATAATTTTCTACTTGAGATTGTGGTGTGTGCTACTTATATCAACATAAGTAGTATATGACGTTAGTCGTGAACAGAATATCTGGCAGCAGAGAAACAAAGGATCGAACAGTAAAGAATGGAAATAAAATTCAATTTGTATGGAAATGCAAGAACAACAAAGTCTGAGTCATTTTGAGACAATTAGTGGACATTTTGCAAATTAGGCATTTACTTTATGATTGTTAGATTTTATTAACAAGTTCAGCAATTTTGTGTCAAATACATTCGATTATCCCCACTCATGTTCGTGTTCACTACAAGCTGAGCAATATTCTTACAATTATTCACTATAATATTTGTATTGTTTGTAGTTATTCGTAAAATCTATTTCAATAGTATTTAATTGCTAATCGCCTTTCAACACTTTTGACCACTTCCACACTGGATGAATGGTAATACATTCTCCTTTACTCTTTTCAAAGAAGATATGTTAACTGCAATGATGTTTCTGCTTTTGTCATCATGATAAGTTGTTGTTTTTTTAATAGAAGTGAACAAGTACAATTTTTGATTGACATAGATTATTGATTCATTAAGAAAAAAATTATTCGTAACACTAGTTGTGTTGTGTGAAAATAAGAGGCACAAATGTTTGATTAGGTCAATTTCATATGTGAGCAATTTTTAATACTTTTATTGTTGAATGAAATATTCTTCTTATTAGAGCATTTTGTAAATTAATATTTACTTTTCAACTTCCTTTCTCCGTTTTGTCTTTTTTTAGAAAACTCTCAATTCTACTGTTACGGCCAGTTTACCAAATGAATTATGCACACTTCAAAAATACTAGATGATATTTCACGTGCATTACAATGCAGTTCATTAACAAGGTGTTTAAATTATGATAAAAGTGTATATTCTGTAAATAATAATGATACTAATCATAACAGTAACCATTATAATAGTAATAATACAAATAATCTTTTAATTTCCACTTCTACTAATCGATGTCAACAGTCCAACTTTTTAATCTCTTCATCAAATAATATAAAAAATAATGTGGACATTACTGATGTTCATAACAGTGAACAATCAATCAATTCAATTTATGCTCATCATACAAATTCACAAATGACTACACCATATTATACATTACATTATAATCCAGGTTTTCATAATCCATTATTAATGGATAATCATAAGAATTCAAATGGATTATTAATACCACAGTTGAAACAGTCAACATCATTAACTGGTCTACCATCAGATATATCGAGACCAAATCCAAATGATTATGATGAACCATATATAAGTAATGATGAAAGTGATCATGGAATAAATGATACTGTTAATATTAATCGTTTAGATGATGAAATAATAAACAAGAATAAAACGAAAGATAAAAATAATGACTATGTAAGTGTTATATTGTTGACAAAATCAAACCATATTTTAAAGTTTATCTTCATTGATCAATTCTGCGTTATGCTTAGATTTATCTGTTTAAATTCACCGTTACTTTAATAGGTTGGAGGAAAGTTAAAAGTGGTTAAATCAAGGAACGACATTAGTTTCTGAAGTCATCGATTAGTGGTTAGATCCATGTTGGTGTCTAGATGATGATTGTCACCATTGGTTAGAGAACTTAAGTGACATTACTAAACGTTGGTTTTGGTGGCATAATCACATTGATTCCATGTCCTCCTTTAGTTCCGTTTTCTTTCTTTTTGAATTGTGTCTCTCTTAAATTTTCATGTCTGTTACAGTTAAAATGAATGGGTAGGCATAAGTTTAAGCCAAACGATGTTACAAGACATCGATGGTGATTGCATATACGCCATAGTAGAAATAGATAATGCATACATGAACACCATATAGGTGGAATGAATGAATCATTAAATGCGTTTCATCGTGGAAGATACTACATATCTATCATATAAAGTACTTGAGACAGCTTAAGCACTCTAATCGGACCGAATTTTTGCCATTTATTAACAAAGGTTTTACGGTATAATCATAATCGGTGATAAGATGTTTTTAATGGGGTTGATCTAAGGTGGTCATAGTGATCCAGATTTGATCGTCCTCAACTTATCTCTGAACTCCTAAATGTAATATTATCCCATAATTTCACTCCCTTTTTTAAAAACTAAGTTCTCCATTTTCATTTTCCACTACTATTATTATTCAGCTTGTTTATTGCTTATCGTGCTGCTAGTTAGTATAAAGTGAAGGGTTTTAATTCTTATTTTGTGGTTGACTAAATACGTACACAATAAGTACCTACAAGATGCTTATCATTACGCTGAATAACACTAAAAAACAAAGATATCTGTAATAATCAGCCTGTTTATTAGAAAAAAACAGTGATGTTTTTTCTCCTATAAGAAACAACTTAAGATAAATTATGCTGTTGATGATGAGAATTTTTAAATTCCAGTTATTACCATTATGAGGATTTGTGAAGATCGTAGTACTGTAACAGTTGAATTCCCGAGACAGTCTAAGCTAGATCACCATTAAAAACCTGGAAGCACTGTTAGTCTAGCATAGATTGACTCGTGAATTTAACTGCTACAATTTCAGTTATCACTTGAACGTGATTTAGAGGTTTAAATTATAAGAATAACTACAGTTTTATGGATAGATATTTTTGAAAAAAAGAATGCCAAACAAGTGCACTACTTATGATATTCTAGTAGCTTTTTACATCCACTAACCTAGTAACTAAATAGAGTAATTCAAATAAGAATACTTGAATATCATTCTGAAAATATAAAAAAATATTTAAATGAAATGATTCCATAACGACAAAACAATCATATTAAAAATAGATGCAATTGGATTTTTGCATGAAATTTCAAATGCGTAACTGAAAGCTGATATCTTATAGTTTGTCTGCATGTATTTGTGTAGTAATATTTAATAACCTATTCATCATCATCATCATGAAAAGCTACCCTGTAATCGAATATTGAAACTGTACAACTGACACTTGAATATTCAGGCTGTTTAATTGTTATATATATATATATATATATATATATATATATATATATATATATATATAAACTCTTCTTAATGTGGACTAAAATGACCAAGTACAGCTTACCGAAATATCTATTCCGGTGTTGACTAAGTCTGAAAACAAGAATTTATGTTTTCATTTAATCTATTCCTTGATACTTTATGAAAATGTAAATTTGAATTTAATTGTCGGATAGGTGTCTCTCAATTTAATATGTGAGTCGTGTTTGCATACCGCTGATGGATCCCAAAGTAGAAATAAATATCTGTCGGTCGAGTAATACATAATTTTGAATTATTCTCAAGTGAAGACTCAACGTGTGATGTAAATAATTACCGATTATATCAAACTGTTTAACTGATGAATTTACCATTTGTTTCAGTCTTTTCAACATCAATCGTCATTATCAGTTACTAAAATTATGGAACTGGAAAAGTGTAACTATTCAGAGAATCAAAAGAAATATGAACAGAAATCAATCAGTTTAGACAAATTAAATGATTTAAATAATGAACATATCTATGATACTGTACCATTTTCATCCTCATCTTCTCGATCGTCATCATCATCATTGACAAAAATATCGTCTAAGAGTCAGTTAAGTAATTTCAATCAGTCGACATTGAATAATTATGATCACGTAAGTTTGATTCTTCATCAAATGAATGAACTCTATTGAAGAAAACATATAACAAAATTTCATTAATCTTAAACTGAACTACAATTTATAATTCTGATTGAGCATCTAAGGCTGACTACGTAATATGTACTGAACATTGATTAAAATTTATGCCGATTAGTTAATTTTATGTTATTAAATTAACAGTATGAATTTAATATTAGATTTTTTTTATCGAGAATTTTATCTGATTTTCAAAAATCGAAAAGTTTAAAGCATATTTACATAATGAATAGGGAGGAAGATCTAGGAATTTGTCTATAGAGAACTAATCTAAACCACTTATCAACAGAAAAGTTATTTGTTTGAATTTGGCAATACATATGTCATCGATTAATTTATATGTGCTGATGTGATGTTGGATAGTTTATTATAGTCTACACTCATTGGATTAGATATCGGGAATTAGCATTTTCAAAAAAAAATTGATCATTTTATTTTGTTCATTACACAACATTCTGGTTGATGTCTGGAAATAGCTCATTCATTAAACATTATTCTTTGCTTTCGTTTGGGATATCAATACAAATATACAGAATATAACTGAAGTGGTAATAAATACATTAAAACTATAGCATAAGAAGTTTAAAAAAGAGATATCTTTAGTCATACAATGCATCTGAGTAATTTTAAACAGAATGTTTAATAATTTTCTTATGACAGCATGATAATATTAGATCGATTTTGTATAGTAACCGTGATACTGTCATTTCGAAACCGAAAGTTGTGGGTTCGATCTTTTATTGCGAGGTCGTGGATGCACACTGCTGAGGAATTGTACAATAGAATGAAGCAACCGTCTAGTTCTTCAAAGTTTTCAATTGTGATCGTTTCATGATTTCAATGAGGCTCATGATATTGTCGCGTTACTGTTCCATGGAAAAGTGTAATGGTTTAATACTTATTTTGGTGGAGTTTTGTTCTCTGAGCTGGATGGTTTGATGGTTTGATCAAACCATCAAACCATCCAGCTCAGAGAACAAAACTCCACCAAAATCATCCACCTGAGCTACAAATCTCCACTATCTTAATACTTATTTACTTACGCCTGTTATTCTTAATGGAGCATAGGCCGCCGACCAGCATTCTCCAACCCACTCTGTCCTGGTCCTTCCTTTCTTGTTCTATTCAATTTTTTTAAATTTTTTTCATGTCTGTCTCCATTCTTGGCGTAATGTGTTGTTTGGTCTTCCTCTTCTCCTTTGGCCTTGAGGATTCCATGTGAGGGCTTGTCTTGTGACGCAGTTGGATGTAAATATACATCATTAATATGTTAAAATCTTCCATTAAAATTAGTTTCAAAATGCATCGCCCCTTAGTTATTACATTTCTGTATCATTTTCTAACGATAACTAACAAAATAAAACTTGGTGCATGAATGTACGTTTCTAATTTCGGTTTAATAATTAAAATTTATTTCTATTATTACATAATTAAATTCAATTAGTCTAAATATCTGAATAATGATAGTTTTATGATGATTACCTGTTATATCCGACGAGAATTATCGACCAATACGATACATATATTTTTATTGTATAATTTCACTGGTTGAAATCATGAGTCAATTGAAGCTAGACCACTATGGAAAACCTGGAAGCACTGGACGGCCGTTTAGTCCTAGTATGGGACTCCTCAGCAGTGCTCATCCACGATCCTACCTCCCCGGCGAGATTCGGACTCAGGACCTATCAGTCAACCAGTGAAATTTCCAAAAATCTCCACAAAACCCATTCTGATATTGTGTAATTGTTAAGTAGCTAAACTATGCATATTCATGTTCTTATTATAAGCTTTATTTTTACCTATAAACTATTATTATACGATTTACCGTCCTTGAGTTCTGTCCAGTCTATTAATTTCAGTCTCCCACATCCACAGCCACTTTTGGCTAGATCTTGTTAAAATGTTATTTTCTATTTTATTGTACGATGTGGTCTGTTTGGTTTGTATGTAAAGCCAGTATGTTTCAAATACATGATTCATATCGCACAGGCTGAGACGGGTGTTCTGGAACTAGCAGGCCCGGGTAAGCAGGAAGAAGGACCGATAAAGACTCTAGACTGCTCATACAGGTTTATGCGTTATTGGTCCGGTCGATAAATCACTGTTCTCGAATTGGTAGTATCACTACATTGTAGATTAATAGGGTACAAGATCACAAGTTATAAAACTACCAATACTATTTATTTCTAGCTGCAATAAGTATAGTAGCGCAAATACTACTATACCTAATTGTTGATTAGCTTCATTTGAGTTATGTATAAATATGTACATTCTTGTTATGAATAGTGTAATTTGTATAATCTCGTTAGACTTCATTAACATAGAGGACAAATGCTAAAATTCGTATACGTGTTTAATTCATTTCAATGTTTAAATTTATAAATGAAGATTGATCAGTGGGTAATCGTTTACATGATTTTATTTTCTGAGTTTGGACATTTCAGTAGTGTTCCTTGTTTCAGTATTTTTAGAATTGCATAAAATTTTATTTGACATATTAAATAGTCAACTTTCTATAAATTCACGTTTACTTCTATTGATTGTTAGTGGTACCGATATTAAGGTTATATCATTCTATCTCGCTTTTATAATCATTTGATTCTTACTGGATACTAGTTAACTTTCATTAATTTATTTTCTGTCTACATTGTAACATTTAATTTCGTTACCTTTTTTTCATACTAAGAAAATATTGTTCGTTTAGTCAGATGGGTTATTGATTTTCGTAACCTTTTCATGTTATATAGTTCGATTGAAAATTGTATGGTATTTCAAAACAGCAGTATTGGTTATAGTAGTGGTTATCTTCCTCAGAAATGTCAGATTGATTAAGGAAATATTGTGATGATAGTTATTACCAATCGGCGTTTTCTTTTCAGAATTTTGTTTGTGATGTTTGATATGAAGAAGCATATGTATGAATTGATTATGACAACTGTGATGGAGAACCATTGATGAGAAGCACTCAAAGTTGTTAATATGTTTCTCTGATTTCCCAGAACTGTAGATTGTTATAAGGTGTTATGGTTGGTTTTGATTTTTATTGTTTAAATCACTGACTAATCTTATTCAGATAATCATCGTAAACTATTAAATTGTGAGCAGCTCTTTCGTCCATGTTAGTGAATTCTCTACAGTGTGCAGCCACGACTTTACTGTGTATCGAACACGGAACGTTTATGTCTCGCTTGAGAACCCTCAACCTTAAAATCACTGAGCCGATAACTTCTGATTTATTTACATATGTATGTTTACAAATTAGTCATTCAAAACCAATTAGTAATCCTATGGCTTACTATGTAATACAAATGATGTTTAAACGAAAAAGATTTCCACACAATTGATGTCAGTTTATGATGTTCATAACAGATGGTAATATATGTTGGAGAGATATTATATTCATTCACTTCACTGTTTGATATCAGTACATCTAATTCTACATGACAGTGGACTTTCTATCAAAAGCACGGTTAACAATCTCAAATAATAAGCCATTTCTGAAGTCAATGAATTTCCATGTTATTTTAAATATACACAATATAGCACAGCCATAATAAAGATAAGAAACTTACAAAACCGAAAATTATTCAATATCTTACTTTTCGGCGACTGATTTGCAAGTCAGCATTTCTTTTAGTCAAGATGTTATCTTACAGATTAAATTGGTTCTAGTGAGAAGCCGTGACTGGTGCATTCCAATCCGTGTAGATTATGAGACAGTTGTCCACCTCAGACAATGGGTGAAAGGTTGCGCAAGATCATGGACCGAATAAAGTTAGACATTAACACCGTTCGATTTAGGCTCAGTGGTCTAAAGGTTAAGCGTTCGTGCTCGAGACCGAAGGTCTTGGGTTCGAGTCCTTTTGGTTTGAGACTATGGATGCACACTGCTGAGGAAACCCATACTACGACGAGATAGTTATCTAATGATTCCAGGTTTTCAATCGTTATCTAGCTTAGTTCGACTCATGAATTCGACTATTAGAATTACTACAATCTCCACAAATCCCCATTTTGATATGTCAAATTGTTTATTGATTAATAAAAAAAATCAGCTGACAGATCTCGATAAAAGTGTACCTTTAGGAGAATATCTTTCTATTTGATCATATTTCTTGGTTTCAAATACATTAATTTTCAAAAGGCATTTTAATTATTCCTAATTATATTGGTCTGATTATACTATTTTATTTTCAATGTTTTTTTTTTGTGTTTTTCACAACATCAACACTACGTCAATTCATTGACCTCAAATAATCTATTTAAAATGATAATAGTTTCAAGTTTATTATTAATTCATAATCCTTAGAATAAAAGATTGTGAAATTTGGTAAAAATACAAAAGTCAACTTACCATAGGACATAAAAAACGATTTGAAATGATGTAATAATAATAATAATAATAATGGCAGCCTTCATGAAAAAGCAAAGGTCTTTCAAAAATGTTTACATTTATACCAATTTAGTCAGTCCTGAGAAAGTTTTACTTAACAATAGTATAAATAAGATTAAACAGAAAAGATGATCAAATCGTCGGATCAGTTTATGAAATTCCTATATCAATCAGTTAGTTGATTATATATATATATATATATATATATATATATATATATATATATATATATATATATATTCAAATAAAACTGGACCTAGCAACTATATGCATTAGTTGGAACTAGCATAATCCACATTAGTGCAAGAAGTGATATTGAGATCAAATGCAGATATCAATCAAAAATTTTGTTTGGGATTTAATGTTCAAACAGATAAATTAAAATCAGAGGACGGTAGTTTTGCATATTAAAGTAATTTAATAATCAATGTAGAGGTTGTGGAGATTATTAAGTTTCTGATTGAGATCATGAACCGATTGATGTTAGACCAATGTTGGAAACCTAGAAGCACTGGATGACCGTTTCATCCCATTGTGGGGCTCCTCAGCAGTGTGCACCCACAATTCTGCTCGCGAGATTCGAACCCAGGGCCTTCAATCTCGCGCGCGAATGCTTAGCCTACTGGACCACTGAGCCGGTATTCAGTAGTGTTAATGTCTAACGTCGACCAATCCACGAAATTGTACGACCATCTTTCATTGTACTGAGATAGATACCTGTCTCTACCTGACACGAATTAGCTCCACTGGCCATGGCTTCTCACTAGAACTCTAACGGTGGTCTAACATTCAATTCATGATCTCAATCAACAAGTAATTTAATAGTTGAATTCATGAGCCAATTGATGCTAGACCACCATGGAAAACCTGTAAGCACTGGACAGTCATCTCGTCCTAGTATTAAATTAAAATTGAAGAAATAAAAATAACATCACATCATATGACAAATATTTGAACACAAAATATAAATTCACTTTATTCTGTTAGATTTTTGTCAGCTGTTTGCGGGTAATAATATTTTATAATCAAAATTACAAATTGGGTCGTAAATGAATAAAAGCATTTGCCAATTGCATAACCACTTATGTATAGCCACTTACGTTTTTAACAGCGTTACTAAGTATACTTTTACTTTGTCTCATATGTATTCACATATTTGCCATGATTTCTTGATGTGTAACTAATTCCAATAAAATTCATTTATGTTAATATTTTTTAATCCACAATGTACCTTTTAATTCTTAAATTTTACATGTTGTAAGTAACTTACGAGAACCTGTGTATTTCCAGAAAATTTCTGAATAATTGATTATTTGAATACATGTGCACCATTATGAAAGATCTTGGATTATTTTCATTTAAAATTATATGTGCAAACAGATCAGTTGAATATGTATACAATCATGTGAAGATTGAGCGTTCACAAGATACACATTACGAGACCGATCAGCAGTAAAATCATCAATGCATATTTCCGAGGGACCTAATTTTGGGACAGAAAAGCTATCGAACGCTTTATGGTTACCGTTCGTTTGTCTACCTTAGGCCTTTCTGTGATATCGATAAGATTCAGTGATCTCCACAAAGTCATATACTGACGAATCAATAAAAGTCTTGATGTCTTTTTTCACTGAGTGTTGTACCAGAACAGATACAAGGTCAATTTGTTAGACTAAGGTAACAAAAAACTATTTGGTTATGTTCAAACATTCAGTATAATCATGTTCGATTTTCAATGAATATCTAACGTATCGTTTTTTCTAAAATTTTTACTTCCCAGGTATTTTGCCTGATCTCTTAAATGACAAAATAATCAGTTATCTCGAAAAGTCGAACTAGTTATCTTTGTCACTTTTTCGATGACTAACTAAACGCTTTGATACTAATAACAAAAATCAAAATTTATAATCAACATTTTTACGAAATGAATAATGTCAACCCCAAAAACAAGCCGTTACTTATAAGTCCTCTGAGGTAATTTAAAATAATATAAAACATAAGTGTGATGAAGTCTAAAATTCTCTTTCACAGTTTTACATGTTTTTTTTCGAACCATATTTTCTTTCCTTAGATCACTACTACTACTATTATTATTGTTTTCATTTTGTCATATTTACTTATCATCTTTAGTTGTAATAAATGGGTCAACTGTGGCAATTTGATCTGATGTAAATATTCTTACTAGGTCCTCCTATTTACTGCCTAATTGAACTACAATCGACTAACCGTTATGTAAGGCACGTTCACATCTTGGTTTTTTCTATAATTATCTGATTAAAAGGCTAGTATATTTATAGCTCAGCGATTAGATGAATCTAGTGTTTTTGAAAATAAAAACTGAATGTAATCATTATCCGATATTATTGCAACCATTAAAAAAATGTTTTCACTTTTATGATGATTCTAAATTTTGTTTTTGATTAAACCAATTTTTTAGACCCTACACAGTGATACATTGGACGTCACTAAACGTCAGTCAAATAAAATGAATCTACTGAATGTCAGTGATCAATCAATGATAAAATCGAATTCATACAAATCTATGTCATTAACAAATAATAGACTGACATCCTCTGAAATTGTTCCAACAAATGAAACTGAAAATAATTCAAGTACAAATTCTCTGCACAATAATAATAATAATATTAATAGTATTTCACCAAGATTATTTCCGAGACAAGTTACAACAGCAAATGTGATATTAACTAAACCAAGTATTATGTGTTCATCTAGTGATTCAACAAAAATATCTAAAGTTCAAAGACAGTTTCGATCAAGCAATAACGTAAGTTATATATTTTCGTATATAAATCAAATATTTGTTACTTTGGTAAATATGACTAGGTCCCTATGCACTTAAATTATTCAATATTCATTTATTGCAATATGCAGAATCTAGCTCAATTTTTTATCTCATATAGGAACTACTTAATATTAATGAATTTTGCATAAAGTATGACATAATATGAAGTGTGGAAACTTGTACCTTGCTTCATGAATTTAGTCAGCTAGTCAGTCATAATGTGGAACCTGGTAAGTGCGTACATAAGTTCAAATTGTAACACCCCATTAGTACAACTAGATAAAATTCCTGGGGCAAATCCGAGAGCAGTAGAAGTAACAAACAGTATTGGTGGTAAACCTTTTAAAGATGTTATTTAAATTGTCAGTCATAAGGTCAGGTACTGACCAACAATGACAATCAGAGTAAATACAGAAAAACACAAGGACAACAAAATACACAAACACAGCTAATCACACAGAAAGTCTTCGGAACAAATCGACATAACGCTTATGGAATAATTGAAAACTTCACTTCTAAATGAAGCAAGCGCTAAAGATATTGTCAAAAATAACAGTGAAAGCTCGGCACTTAGACCTAGCTCAGAGAATAAAACATCTTCAAAAGTATTCACCTGAGTTTCAAACCTCTATCACTCAAATACATACTCGGATATATGTACATACAGTTGGATGCCAGTTCAGTGGTCTAGGGGTTGTGCGTCCACATGCGGGACCGAAGGCCCTGTGTCCGAGTCCTGCGTGCGGAATCGTGGATGCGCACTGCCGAGTAGTCCCATACTAGGATGGAACGGCCATACAGTGCTTCCAGGTTCCCAATGTTTTTTAAGCTTAGATCGACTCGTAAAATGAACTTTTTATTTGATTGATGCCTTCACAAAAATAAAATTATTGATAAAAATCCATTATACGAATAACAATGTTTTGACTTCTTTTGTCCGTATTTTCTCAACAACATTTCATTAATCTAGTAAATTGTAGTATCTTCTCTGTATTTTAACTCTACTACTGAATATGTTTTTCTTGTCTAATCCTTTCCAATTTTCTAATACATGTCTGGATATTTTAGTGTTAGAAAATAAAGACTAAACCAATGAAATATATATTTCAACCAAACAAAATAAGTTTTCTAGTAGTTTATCGTGTGCCTCATTGTTTGAACCCACTGAATACAGTCAAAAGTAACCAATAGGTTCTAGGAAACGGCTGGTTGCATTTAGAGGATACCTTCACCTAGACTACCAGCACTGCATAAAACTATATTTTTAAACATATATACTGTTGAAATATAATTAATGAACTGAAATACATATAATCAGCTTGTTCGTTAATTGATAGAAAACTGCTGATTGCGATAAAGTAAAAATATTTTGCAATAAATTATGAAAGAATATAATTACCCAGTTTTATAATCGTTTTAATTACATCTATTGCACTGAAAGACAATCTTTAAACCAAGTAAACTTGATTATATCTTCCTTTTGTGATTCATTTCATTATGATAGATATTTGGTAAATCAATTTTGAATTTCAGTTCTCTATATTGCTGTTTTATTTATTATTGGATTGGATTGAACAATATCGTTAAATAGTTTTAAATAATACATAGAATTTTTAAAAAATATGCAAGAATTCGTTAATACGTCTGGAGAGTATTCGAATCCTTTGTGTATCGTTTTATGGCTCTATATTTCACTTGTTTTATTGTGTGATGTTTATATTGACACTATAAAAATACAACAATGCAAATGAGCTCAATACTGTTTTTAATATACTTCAACCCTACATTAACTGCTTACTTTCATACATCTTAAATAATAATGTGGTTAATTTGTTAGTTCGCTCAACAATGTTTTCTAGAAGCTGTGAAGTAAAATGTTTTACTTAACTTTGGTTTTTACGTACAGTATTTATTATGAATGTGTATAAGGAATAATGACAATGGTTTAAGCATTCTCAGAAGTATCCATTTTTACCACTTGAAAGTACATAATATTGATGCAGTTCCATCAATCAACAGTTCTTACTACTCTATGTCTTTATCAGCACAGTCATTACTGATTCGATCTCGTATAACAGTAAAACACATCATTTTACTTGTTCATATTTCAAGAGCACAACGTGATAATTTAGTCTTACAATTCAAAGAATCAATATCTATAAGATCTTAAGGAAATCATGTAATGTAGATTTTAAGGAATATAAGTAATGTATGTATATAGTAATGTATGTCCTATCCACTTTCAACATCTTTTCCTAATTTCCTCTTTAGCTGGAAGTTGGTTTGTTCTCTCCCACAGTATGTTGTTGATGATGGTATCCGACCAGTGGACATTGATTTTTTATTAAATAATGAAAATAAATTAAGATCATTAGTCAATGATAAATTTTAAATTGTGAATATTCTGTTAAATATTCGAACAGGTTTGTTATCAGATAAGCTGATCTACAAATACAATGTAACTAGATATAATATCTACGTTGATAGATAATATTTAAACACGATGAGTAAACTTTAAAGTAAATAGAATTGTATATTAAAGACAAAATGATTTTATTCCGAGGACAGATCCTAAATTCGAATATGGATTTTCGTCAAAATCGGAACCAGCACTTTTACCAATGTCTTGCATCGTGCATCAAGACAATATTTCAATAACGCTGACTAATCAGTAAGGAATTGTGACTTATATATAATGTATGACTAGCCCTTAATGATTATTCAGTTGCAATACAGTCATTAGTTTGAGTGACTCGACATTATGTGCACTATGTTTTGATGTAAATTGGTTAGAGATAGACGTTAGGAAACATCAAACCTAGGTTTTGTGTTAGTCAGCATGACCTATTTGCAAACTTTTGGATACTGATACCCCCTTTGAGCTAAGAACTTAACTCACATTTTAGTGGTAAAAATCTCAATGACTGAGATGATGTAGTACCAACATCTCAATTAATATTCCGCTCTGAGCTTTTATATCAAAATAATTAAAACAAATTAACGAAGATAGGTAAAGCCACAAAATCAAATAAATAATAAACGCTTGTACAGTTGTATGTTTAGATATTCAGTTTGGTTTAGAATGTATTTGTTAATCACTTAGTGTAAAATGTCTTAAAATTATGGTTTACAAAGATATTGCTATTCTTATTTAAATCCAGATACTACTGTATTTCAGTTTATACATGAAGTTAATAAGGTAAGGCCATTATCACTAGTAATAATGAATATGTTATCTTTTTGAGCACACTTCATATAGAGTCATATCTACTTATTCTTAAAACATAAGCTTCAAAAGCTAACTATTCATTTATTTGATGTCGACTAAACGAATTGGTATCTAAGACGCATCCTAATTCATATCTCGGTAGGTAATAACAATGACATCTAAATTTATACTGCTAAAATGATAACTGAATATGATAAAATCTTTACGTCATTAGCGAAAATATTCTTTCAATAAAGATAGTTGACTAATTTTTAACAGCAAAAAATTTTTTAGTTCCTGCTGAGGATTCTGAAGGTGTGGTGTTGTCTGAACTGGATGGTGTCGTTGTAATTAACCGCGGCGTTACTATATACTGTTCACAAGTAAAATTTTCTGCCCAAAAGTAACAACACTTGAAAAATAATAAAAACTATCAAACTGAAGTTTAGTATTTATTATGTAATGTGACCATAATACACATCTGACTTTATTACTTGCACACATTTAATGCTATAAGCTATTTACTTTAAATTAATTGTTTAATTGCTCATTCAAATTTTGGTTTCGTAAATGATTTCAGTCGAATAACTTGATCATCTTTCTCAATTCTACTACTAAAATAATCATTTTCTGTTCATTTACTTTTCTTCAACTGTCAACTATCTTATTGAATACTCACGTTTAATTCATAATTATTGTCGATAAATAATTGAAGAGAAAAACAAAGTTCCCTATGATTATCAAGTAACCTACCTGACTATTAACCTTCGTTTTTTTCATTTATAGAGTCGTGAAAATATATTTGATAGGGATGTAGATAACGATCAATTCTTTTTCGGTACATCAACAAATACTGTTCAATCGAACTTGCTACAAAATTATCGTCATCATCATTTTCCAAGTAATTTATCAAATAATTATTCAAAGAACAATACATACACTTACAGTAAAAATATTTTATCATCAGTGTCGACAGAAGAACTGCTTAGTCAATCAGATACCACTTCATATAATATGATTCAAATGGAAGAAGATAGTTCTAATTATTCATTAGCCAATAATACAAATAATACTACTAATGCCGCTGATACGTCTGCCGACAAGAATAATAATATTAATAACAACCGAAAGAATTATTCAGTGAAGTAGCTCGCCTACGTTATGAGTTATTGTTATCACGTCAAGATGCTTTACGAGCAGCTGATCGATTAAGTAAACAAGAAACTGAAATTTATCAACTTCGTCAATTATTAGACCAACTTATCAATAATAATAAAATCAATACTACCACTAATGGTAATAATAATCAATCCATCCATTTAAAAGTACCAAAATTAAATATTCATTCTGATTATTGTACAAATTTACAGGGAAATGAATTGAAATCCTATGGTGATAAACAGTTATATTCACGTAAGCAATCAGTTCCGGTTACTACTAATACTACTGGTGCTAATTGCTTACAGAATTCAACAAATATTAGTAACAATAACAATGATGCCAATGTTTTACAAACTGTAACTGCTACATTTAAAGAATTAGATGATGCTATGGCAAGGTTAGTTTACATAGCTCATTTATTATCCATCTACCAAACCATACCACTGCTACTACTATTCTTTATTAAATATATATATTATCAGAATACTTTAGTGTATATTTATTAGACTTGATGAAGGGACTATTTTTGTTATAAACTAACATCAGTAGAAGCTTCCAGTCTTACATCAAAAAAGATATTTACCACTGAGTTGGTATCTGATAATCCATTTAAAGATTATTGGACTTTTGTTATAGCTTATTAACAATTGGTTGATTATGAATACAGTGGTCTTGAGTGCTGTTAGATGTGTGAGGGCGGTTATCACTTCCCGGCTGCCCACACCGTGGAAGGGTTGTTCTGGAGGTACCTGAATAGGAAATTGGATTAGAGGTGGTCTTAGTGACCTGAGAGCGTGACCGCAGTGCCCAAGGGACAACTGCTTGAGGTCGGTCACACACGACCTTGTTATGGGTAATTTTTGTGTTAGCTCCGTACTTATTGAGACCTTACCGCCGGAGACGGATATCCGTGGGATAAGGCGAGGTGTGCATTTTTAGGGTCGACCTTTTCTAACCCCCACCCCTCCTTGTGGGAAGGCAGCATCGCCGTCATGCTGGTTGTCTGAAGGAAACACCTTACTGCTGTCACACCTCTGTACAGTCAGCAGTACGAATTCGCCTTCGGACCTTGGGTTTGTTGCTTTTAGTCTTACCGCTCTTCAACCGACCTGTCTGACATGGTAGGACCTTGAGGAACGGTTGTTCCAGCCAGTATAGCTCGGTTGCTTCATCACGATAGGCAAGCCCGACCACCACGTCAAGGTAGCAACAACGGTTGGAAGTCTGATCAGCCCTAATGGGTTGGTGTCTGACGAAATCTCAGCACGGATTCGAAAAGCTCGTTTGGCTTTTGCCAACTTACGTCACCTTTGGCGGAGGCGAGATATCCGTCTATCAATAAAAGGACGAGTATACTGCGCGGCTGTCCGTTCTGTTTTAATTTACGGCAGCGAAACATGGCCCTTAAGAGTAGAAGACACCCGTAAGCTACTAGTATTTGACCACAGATGCCTTAGAAATATTGCTGGCATCTGCTGGGATCACCGGGTAAGTAATAGTGAGGTTAGACGCAGGGTATTAGGGAATGATGGTAAATCAGTTGATGAGGTTATGAATCTTCATCGACTGAGATGGTTGGGCCACGTGCCTGAACACCGATTACCACGACGTGCAATGCTAGCCGGTGTAGGGGATGGTTGGAAGAAAGTTAGGGGCGGCCAAACCAAAACGTGGCATCAGTGCCTGAAGTCACTAACTTGTAGTCTGAGCCATGTTGGTAGATGCAGACTACTTGGTTGGGGTCCGCGTGACTTTCGTAACCAATGGTTGGAGACTCTTGATGACATGGCTCAGAATCGATCACAATGGCGTCGGTGTATACACTCCCTGTCTTCCCTTAAACTAAGAGATTAAAATCATTTCATATCTTTCTTTCTACGAACTAATTCTTTCTTCCTATACTATATCCTTATTGCAATCCTCCTATATATTACCACCTCTGAATTAACTACTTTTATGAATCCGGTGTTCATCTTGCTGTGCTAATGAGGTATGGAAACCTGGACCGATGCACATATGTGCCTGGTCCTACGTTGTAGCTGACTGACTGACTTATTAACAATTGTTTGGAGTTTAAAATATTGACCAGTTAATCTTACTTCATAATCTGAAGATGTGATATTTTCAGTGAGTTTTGAAGGTTATCGGTCCTTGTTTGTGTGGAATAATTGGTATATATTGTCGATAGGTTGTTAGTTTATTTTTACTAAACAATAAATTTTGTCAGTGAGATATATGCTGTACAATTTTTATAAAAACGAATATAATTAGTTTATTCCAACAAACAAATCTTAACAAATCAGTTAATAGAATTCAATAGTAAAAGCTTCAGTCATAGAATGTATCGAGATTGTATATTCCAGTAAACATATAAATCTCCAAAACTGCAACAACATAGTAACTTCAAGTCGATCTAATTAAAATGACACACATTATCCTGATGAACCTGAAAATAATCTTGAGAACAAATTAAAAAATAAGTAGAAAATTTATAATATTCAGATGCATATGAATAATAGTAAATTCGTGTAGATCACAAGCTAGATTTCAGTGGTTTTCTGAATTATTTGTCTATAAAACTCTATTGTTCTATGAGATATCATCATAAGGTGTGTAGAACATCTCCACAAGTGACTAAACACATATACTATGGAAGAAGAATTTGACTATGATCAACCTTTGTGCTGTTATTTCTAATATTTTTATTTTTATTTACTTGTTTCCTAATCCTGCAAACATTTCTCTGAAGAAGTGACTTACACTAAGCCACGCAACGTCAGAAAATCTAATTTTTCTACTTATTGGGATATTACAAATATATTATTTATTTAGGACGTGTTTAAGGTCCGTTTCTGTTAACCTTCTGATTACCAAGTGACCTCGCTCGAATTCAGGTCCATATTTACTCAAATCCATCGACACAAGCAATGGTATATTGTGACGTCCTATAAGCCAATTTATTTATTCGGTGTTTTCCGCCATTTTGGCCCCTTATCTTATACTTTTACTGACTGACCTAGCACTCAAATGAAATTTATATTCATCTTCATGGATAGAAACGTACGTAGTATTACTATCGAATGATATTGATAAATAGGTGACTAAGAGGATAATCTATTCAGTTGGATGTACTTTCCAATAGTGGAATATTTCAAATGCCCCAAAAGTTATCATCTTCCAAATCGAACTATCAGATAAGATCAACAGAAAAATACTGATGGAGTTCTTTAAGAGAACGAGAATTCTTTCTACTAAAATTCTAGCCTTCTTAAGCGGTAAAGTATCTATTCTACATTTACTTAGTCAGCTTTTGTAATACTGCTACATCTTCAAGCTTCAATGATTCATAAACCAATAACTCATAAAGATGTTGTCAGACCAACCTAAGTGAATGTTCGAAATGCTCGTTGGCCTATTGTAGCAAACAAAATGCTTACTACAGCGGCCGTGTCTAAATAATTTGCAAAAGTATGTGGCAAATTAAAAGCCCCTATCTATTTCAAAATTAAAAGTGGCAGAAGCAAATAAAAATGTCAGCAATGAACACTACATTTAGTGATTATTACAAATAAATAAATGTGCAATGAACACAAACTAAATACTAATGAAATGTCTACAGCCTTAAGGGAATGGAAGTACACTAATATAATGGAGTATGTTACTATTCCATATTAATATTTAAATTACATTTTAGAACAAAAGGTCATAATATGCTGAGTGTTCAAAAATAATCGAAAACAACATGAGCTACTGAATATTAGTAAGTAGTGTAGTTAACACAGAAAAGAAAGGAATTCGAATTGGATTATAAAGCTTAAGGAAGAATTAACCAGAGTTCATTATGTCTTCTTTTGCTTTTAGTCTTTTGTGATTGAATAATATGTGTTGAAATAATTTCGGCTACTACTAAGTGATATATATATATATATATATGTTCACGATTTGCTTTGACTGACTAATTTTGTGCGTTTTCCGCTCAATTCCTTCAACAGCTCTTACAAAATGATCACAAACTATGGCAAACATAAATACTGATGAAATTCAAGTGAGATTACTTCGGCGATTAATATATTTTTCTCCTCATAAGTTTTATAGACGGATACGAGTTTATTTCATTTGAATCATTCCACCGAACTTATTATAGAATGATAAGAGATGTGGTAAAAGTGAAATCAGTTTGAAAGTGAAGATGAATGTTATAAACAGCATAATTCCGAAATACTTCCTCATAACTAGTTAATACTAGCAAATATGTTTATGAAAATCAACCGACTTAATGTCTCCTTTATTTTTCTAGATAATAGTAAAATAAAATTGTTTTTATCTCATTGTCAGTCACTGATAATTTCTTTTATATTCCTATTCCTCACTCTCTTAGACTTGAATTAGAACAAAGTGAACTGCTTCGTGAACAAGCTCGAATTCGTGCAAGAATCGTTGCTGCACGTCCAAAACAGCTATCATCAAGTTGCAAACAATCTAATTCCAATTCTCTCTTATCTCGTTCAACCAAATCAGCTATTCATCCAAGACAATTTGATTCTTCTTTGTCAAAAATGCCAAATAATTTGGTAAATCATGGATTATCTAGTCCTAGTGATCAAATGAAGTATACAAATTCTCCTCGTACGATTACCAATAACAATATTTATAATATAAATAATAATCATAACAAATTACAGCATGAAATTGTTGAAGGTATTCCTAAGATTTCTTTTTCATCAACTCGAACATCTTCACCACATATTTAAAGAACAGAAAGCATTTATATATAATGTTTTGTCAGATGCTTCGGTTTGTTTTTTTTTAGGAACCCACCATGCATTTCAATAAATCTCAACTATTATTACCATGAATAAAATGTCTCCATATGGTTATTAGTTGATTCTTAGAAACGAAATTGTCAATTGTTGCCAATTGTTAGTTTTGTTAACAGTTTGCTGTCAAGTGTATTTAGTTTTAGAACTTCTTCATTACTTGTGAATTATTACAAAATGTCATATAATTTACAAGTAAATTATATGTAAATCAATGATGTATATTTCTGTATGTAGATAGAGGTGTTACCTTCGTTTTAACTTCATTTCTGTTCAATGAAGCACAAATTAAACTTATCTTTTGATGTTCTACATTATTTTCTATCTAAAAAATAACAATGTTGATTTTATTCATCTCTCGGTGTTTTAAATCACAGATCTATAATGTTTTCCAATGACATCAAAAATTAATGTGATATGATTTTGTCAACTTTATATGAATGTAAAGTTCAACTACTTATAAGTAGTAGTACGAATTTGTGAAAAAATATTTACAAAGAATTTAAGTAATATCTTATAGGTATCGTTAGTTTATGAATATTTAATTTTGAGAAAGTAAATTCTCTTAAATATTTAAGCATATTTTCAAGAAACATTGTAATGGTATTTTATGTGAATTCTTGTTATTTGTACTTTTCTGTAATGCAATAATACAAAAATAGAGAATCATGAAACTAATAGATTGTTTTAAATTTAAACATATCCACTGAATCATAAACCATATTATATATAGATTTTTATTGTTTAAAAATATATACGTTTTAAAGTACTTACATCTGTTACTCCTCGTGGAGCATGGGCCGTCAACCAATAGTCTCTAATATGCTCTGTCCTGGCCTCTCATTTCTAGTTCTTTTCAAGTACTTGGAGAACTACAAAAGCCATGATCCAGAAGATACAAGAGTTTATTAACAGTTGTCAACGCAATATACTTCAGATCCGTTGGCCATATACTGTGGTAGAGAACAAATCGGATTCCAACGGAGGAAGGAATCAGGAAAAAGCGTTGGAAGTGGATAGGACACAACTGCGTCACAAGGCAAGCCCTCACTTGAAATCCTCAAGGCCAAAGGAGAGGAGGAAGCCTAAAGAAATCATTACGCCGGGAAATGAAGACAGGCATGAGAAGAATGAACAATAATTGGATAGAACTAGAAAAGAAGGCCCAGGACAGAGTGGGTTTGAGAATGCTGGTCGGTGGCCTATGCTCCACTGGGAGTCACAGGCGTAAGTAACTATTCATTCTCTTGATGTCTACCTTCACTTCATGATGAAATGCTTTCTTTCCTTTTCTTCTTTTGTTTTAGCCTTAAGGATTTCAAGTTAGGGCTTACTTCTGATATAGTTTGATGATTTCCCAATGTGTGTCCATCTGGGACCCATATAGGGTTGCTTCTGGTCCTAAGGTCGTATAAAAGAAGATGGTTGGGTATAGAATTAGTAGCCACATCCCTTAGAAAAGAACCTTGCTGACAAACGTCCTCAAGAAAGAAATATGTACACATGACAACTTGCATATCTACGAACAATGGAGTGCTTGTTAGAATTTCATGAGTTGTGGTTTGAAATTTTTCTAAAGTTTTAATAACTAAAAAATTAAATGTAAAAAAGAAGGAATATACAAAATCTGAGCAATACATGATCATTCAAGTGAATTAGGTATCTTTAATGTTGTGAATGGCCAAAGTTTCCATAATAAGCAGTTGGTTTAAGCATAAATCTCTCCATTTATTTGACGGGGTTAGGTAAATGATGTCAAAGAATGAGATAGAAGCTCCACAAAAGTAGTTGGTCTATGCATAATGAAGTGGTCAGTCGTGAAAAGTTGTATTTCACTCTGGGGCAATATACTTAATCTACACATTGATTGAATCAAATATTTCAGATATATTAATTTAAGTACAATATTTACATAAAAACTGTGATATAAGTTTTTATGATGAAATAAAGAACTTTCCTTCAAGATCTTATGACCAATTAGTATAGCTAGTTTAGAAATAATTCCAACTTGGAATAATTCTAAACTCATTAATTAATATCGGTATACACGTTTTATTAAATCTGTTGAATTTAGGGTTAGCTTCACTGAGTGGTCTTAACTAAGCAGCCATTAAAAACCAAGAACTGGACAGCTGTTTCTTCAAATTTCGTGGATGCTCACTTCTGAGCAGTCACCTGTTAGATCTAAATATCTATCCAAATGTTCCTGGTTTTTGATAGCTATCTGATTCAGGTAGACTCGTAACGTAAACCATATATAGGCCTAAAGTAATGTATAGGTATTCCTGTAATGAACGAGGAGTGGAAACGACAAATTTATTAGTTCATACAAAATTACAGAATGTCTTCGTAAAATCTGAGAACCATACATAAAATTCTTCCTTTGCAAATCTTCTATCAATTGTCTTTCACATTCTGTATGATTCTCACAAATCACAATTCCTTCCTATTTCCCTTTCTGCTGCCAGCCACTCAACCTATGATTGGTGTTACATACTCTTTATGTCTGTTGACGTAATCAGCATATACCATATCCCTATTTAAACTCAGGCGAATTAAGTGTAGAATCATTTTATTTCAATTAGCTTTTAATTATGGATTCACCTGTTCTACAAGTGACAGTCATTTTAGCATTAATTAACCAGACAATGAATTAGTGAGAGTAGTAAATGATCACGTGAGTACTTCAATGATAAATATGGGTATAGTAATCTCAGCATTCCCAGGTGTAATTTATTACCGAAGTTTAAAAAGTTTCTATACAAATGATTGATCACCTATTATCTTTATAGAAAACTGAAAGTTCTTGTTGAAATGTAGTGTTAATAATAATTAAGTGAGAATAAAAAGAGACCATCGATACAATTTGGAAAATGTTAACGACAAGTTGTAAATAGTTGTCAATCATATCAAACATCAGACTGACAAGGTACAGGTTATATTTATGACCAAGGTAGCGCGAGAAATGTTATAAATAACACTTGAAATCAATGATTCTTCTTGATGACATGGTTATTGATGTCTGCAAACGTACTCAATGAATGTAAACATAAAACTTGTAGTAAACTAAACCGCATAAAAAATCACATAAAATGCTTTATATATTGTCAACTCAATGAGGTGTCCCTACTAGGTTACAAGGTATGTATCTATTAAATACTATTAATTGTTTTTTGCTCGATTCACTTTTACTTATAAGTCTGAACATTTGAAGAATGAAGATATCTTTAACTAAAGTTCAAAACCATTGATTTACATTTTTAACTATTTTACTAAAATAAGATATGAATGGCTGTTAGTTTAGGGGGGGTGGTCTGAAAATCCACAAGAGTTAAGCTAATGAAATACGTTGGTTTCCTTACTGTTATGTACTTACGGCCTGCGAATATATCACGTGACTGATCACCGATTCGAACATCGACTTTCTGACCAGACCAATGACGAATAAACCAGTACAAGCAGTCTAGATTCAATTCTGGGTTCTTATTGGTCAACCGAGATGGTACCTTCTTGTCTAACCCAGCCGGTTAGTCTAAAACACCAATATCAACCTTCACTTTATGATTCGTGTATTTCAGACATACTTGATTTATATACAAACAAACCTCACCACATCATACCATAAAACAGAAAATAATTATACAAGATCAAGCAAAAACTGGCTGTGATTGTAAGACTGTAATTCAAAAGTTGGGAATAAGTTAGGAATGGTAATTCGTATAATAGTGGACAATAGGTCAAATAGACGCTTCTATTCAGAGGAATATGAATATACATATAATATAGTTACTTAATATTTATACAACAAGAATAAACATATAATGACAGTTCATAAATAGGTCCTAGCGGTTACTGTTCACTTATTCTTCGCCCGGATATATAATACTTAGATTATTAAAGCTAGGTAATCAAATCACAATAGGGTAAATATATTTATGCATTAAATTGATTACTTAATATACTTTTTTTCTTCTCATAAATGAATCTGTAATACGTTTACTTTTTCCATAAAGTGACATATTTACAATAAAATTACCGCCTCTGGTTACGTTACTAGTATGAATATATCATTTGGCAATTCATAAAGAAATTAATACTGTACTTAATACTGAACAATAAAAGTCTATCGAATACCAATTAATATATCCAACAATCCAAAAAAAAGAAAAAAAATACCGTAGAACTTTCCTTGAAAAAGCTTGGACCAGATTGCCGGGCGAAACGTTATATTTACTTCAAATTCATTCGCTGAGATTTAACAAATACATTCTTCCTCTTAAATGCTTCTTTCTTTCTTTCTGTTTGTACACTGTTTATTTATTTTCAAATATTCGTATTATTTTTCTTACAAATAAATTTGACTTATCACTTACGCCTGTTACTCCTTGTGGAGAAGCATAAGCCACCCACTAGCATTATCCATTCAACCCTGTCCTGGGCAATGCTTTCCAGTTGTTATTCATCCTTTTCATATCTGCTTCTGTTTTCCGACGTGCTGTGTTCTTTTGCCGTCCTCTTTTCAGCTTTTCCTCAGGATTCCAAGTTAGGGCTTGCCTCGTGATGCATTTTGGTGATTTCCATTTCCATCGTCTTTTCCTAATTTCCTCTTCATCTGGAAGTTGGTTTGTTCTCATCCACAGTGGTCTGTTGCTGACGGTATCCGACCAGTTATTAAATTTGATAAAACAGAAGAGGATACCTTTTTTAATCTCAGAAGGCGTTTTGTGGATATTATAATAATTTCAATAGCTGAAATCATGAGTCAGTTGAAGCTAGACCACCGCAATAGGACAAAATGGCCGTTCAGTGCTTCCAGGTTTCCCATGTTGATCTAGCTTCATTGACTTATGATCTCAACTATTGACATACCCTTTTTTGTTAAAAGGTATGATGAGAAAATAGTTAATTATTCAAATTCAGTTGAACCAAATCAC